GAATAAAACCACAGGCTGGCTGGTAGAGGTCCTTGAGTGGTTGAATGGTCAGAACTACCCTCTAACTGGCATTATTTCCCCATGTAAATCCACCCCTCCCAGCCCCTCCCTCCACCCACCCTTCTCTGGAGAGACCGGCATCGCCGCCCATGGGTGCCAACCTGGCCGTGGCTCTAGGAGAGACAGCAGATGACGGCACCGGCCCCCAAACTGTCAAACCCCAATTGTTTCTTCAGTCAAGGCAATGGGCCTTTCTGCTGCACTGAGGCCGCCGACCATTTCCTCCTTCCTGGGACCCCTGCCCCCCTAGCCAGGGCCCCTCCTCTCCCATCACCCTGTGCCGTCCCTCCCCCCACGTGTCGTGTTGTGTCGTGTCGTGTGTGCCTCTGCGCTGCTCACGAGACTCTCAGCTCCATGAAGTCAGGGTCCACACCCTCCTGGTCTCTAATGCCCAGCTCCGTGGGGTCGTGTGACAACAGGTAACGTTCCACGTTACTACCATGTGACGACGCTACGCTGGACACTTTGCACAAGTCAACTCATTTAATCCTCACAACTCCATGAAATAAGCGCTACAATCTCCATACTACAGAGGAGGAAATGGATCACATCAGGTCCCCGAGGACACGGATGCTGTCGTCCTGCTACTTCACGATTTCCCAGAATCGACAACAGTGGCCTCCGTGGATGTCGACTTCAAACTCGAGTCAGTCTGACTCCGAAGCTCCGTCTTCAATCACCGGGCATGTGGGTACCGTGGAACCAGTCCAGGACTGCCTCTCTGAGTGCTTCACACCTTCTTCCCTGGGGCACCTCTTAACTGTCAGTGACCCCCCAGGCTCTCCCGTCCTCAGCTCATCTTTTCCCGAGGCAGGTGCTCTCCTATGACCTGATCCTTACATGCCAGCAAGTCCAAATCTCTCTGGAATTCCCGGCTGCCCATCAGACGGCACAATCTGTCCGTCCCCTATTCCTCAGATTCTACACGTCAAAACAGAAGCCATTTCCTCACCAAGCCTACACCTGCTCCGTCTCCTGAATTCTTTTCATCAGATTGTGACCCCACTAGCCACACCACCGCCCAAACTGGGAACTGAAGAAATCAACCTTGAGCCTCCTCTCCCCTCAACAGTACAGAATGATGTGTAAGCACACAGGCTCTCAAGAACACAATTCTATTCACAAGAGCAAGGAAAATAAAACACTTAGGAATACCTTTAACAAAAGAAGCGTTAAGGCTAAAGCTACAAAACCTTGCTGAAATTAAAGATCAAAATGAATGAAAAATAAATTAAAAACCAAATGAAAAATAAATTAAAAGTCAAAATTAAAGGGTTTCCCTGGTGGCACAGTGGTTTAGAGTCCGCCTGCCGATGCAGGGGACACGGGTTCGTGCCCCGATCTGGGAAGATCCCACATGCTGCGGAGCGGCTAGGCCCGTGAGCCATGGCCGCTGAGCCTGCACGTCCGGAGCCTGTGCTCCACAACGGGAGAGGCCACAACAGTGAGAGGCCCGCGTACCGCAAAAAAAAAAAAAAAAAAAAAAAAAAAAATCAAAATTAAAGATCAAAATAAATAGTCTATGTTTATGGATCAAAAGACCCAACATTTTAAGATTCCCAAGTTGATCTATAGATTCAACAGGTTGTTGTTTTGGTTTGGTTTGGTTTTTGAAGAAACTAACGAGCTGATCCTAAAATTTATATAGAAATGCAAAGGACCCCAAATAGCCAAAATAACTTGAAAAAGAACAAAGTTGGAGGATGTACACTTCCTGATTTCAAAACTTAAAATAAATATTTATATATATGGTCAAATGATTTCTGTTAGAGGTACCAAGGCAATTCAGTTGGGGAAAGCAGTCTTTTAAACACATGGTGCTAAGACCACTGAATACCCACGTAAACTTAGATCCTTACCTCACACCTTACACAGTAATAATTCAACACAGCTCACAGATCTAAGTGTAAGAGCTAAAACTATAAAACTTCTGAAATCAAACATAGGAGAAAATCATTTGTGACCTTGGGTTAGGCAGAGAGATACAATACTAAAAGCATGATCCATAAAGAAAAAAACCAATAAACTGAACTTCATTAAAATTAAAAACACTCACACTTCAAAAGACACCATTAAGAAACTGAAAAGACATGTCACAGGCTGGGAGAAAATATTTGCAAATATGTCTTATAAAGGACTTGTATCCAGAGTATTTTAAGAACACTTACTTTTCAAAAATAAAACCCAATTAAACAAGTGAACAAAAGATCTGAATAGACATTTCACCAAAGAACATACATGAATGATTCATAAAAAGATGAAAAGACGCTCAACATCATTTAGCCATTCGAGAAATGCAAATCAAAGCCACAATGAGCTATCACTTCACACCCACTAGCACGGCTATAACCAAAAAATATAAAACAACAAGTATTGGTGAGGATGTGGAGAAATCAGAACCCTCAAACATTGCTGGTGGGAACGTAAATGGTACAGACACTTTGGAAGAGTGTGGGAGTTTCTTAAAAAGTTAAACACAAGCTTATCATAAAAACCAGCAATAGCACTGCTAAATACATACGCAAGGGAAGTGAAAACAAGGCCACACAAATACCTGTACACAAATGGTCACAGCACCATGTGAAAACAATCCAAATGTCTATCAACTGGTGACTGGATAAACAAAATGTGATATAGCCATACAACAAAATACTGTTCAGCAATAAAAAAGTAGTTACTAATACGTGCTACACATGGATGAACCTCAAAAGCATTAGGCTAAGTACAAAAGAAACCAGATGCAAAAATCCCACATATTATCTGATTCCATTTATACGAAATGTCCAGAAAAGGGAAATCAAAGAGATATAAGGTGGATTAGTGGTTGCCTGAGGCTGGGGGTGGGAATGGATATTGCAAATGGGGACAAGAGATCTTTTTGAGGTGATGGAAAGGTTCTAAAATTGGTCTGTTGTGATGGCTGCACAAGTCTGTAAATTTACCAAAAAATCACTGACGTGTACACTAAAATGGGTGAATTTTATGGTAGGTAAGTTATACCTCCTTAAAACTGTCGGTGGCGGGGAGGGAAGCACAGGCCCTAGATTCAGATTCAAGTCCGGGGTCTCTTACCTACCGTGTCACCTCGGGTAAGTTACTTCAACTCTTCGTGCCTTAGTTTTCTCATCTGTAAACTGGGAATTAGGGTCGTACACACTTCAGAGAGTTATTCTGAGAATTAAGTGAGTTAATACAGGTAAAGTGCTCAGCACAGTGCCAGATGCACAGCAGGCATTCAGTAATGTTAGCTACTTTTCTTAATTATTGTGGTTACACTCAACCAATTATCAAGTTTTGCCAATTTTACTTAGTAAACAGTTCTCAAGTTCATCACCTTTTCTTCGTAACTTCTTCCCTGGCATTGAGCTCTGGACCACCTACCTTGTAGACAGAACACCTGCTGCAATTGTCCTAACTTCCCCCAGGCCTGCGCCCCTGCATCCGCCTCCACAGGCCACAAAAGGCCCTCCAGGACCCGGTCTCTGCGGACCCTCCCACCCCATCCCACACGCACACCAAAGCGAGAAACTTCCCCAAACACACCACGCAGTTGCTCGTTCCATCCCCTCTGTACAAACGCCCCCTTCCCCTCCCTTTAGTCCATCTACTCTGAGAATCCTCCACACAGGCCCTCCCTCACCCTCTTGAGTTGGGCCTTTCTGTGCCCATAATAGTCACCTGTGCACGTCCCGTCCCCAACACTGAATTGAGACACAGATTACAAAATGTGCCTCTTATCTTGAAGTGTGAACCCAGCACAATCCCGAGGCAACTAGTACACTGTAGGTGCTCAATAAAATGCTGACCGGTCAAGCGGATGACCAGGATATGTAGCATCTTCTCAGCTTCTCACATGGGGAAAACGCACTTGGGCTTCCTGACAGCTTAAGCCTCTTTTTAGCCTGTCACTTACGGAAAGTGACAGAGGTTGTCCAGGAAAATGGAAATCCTCGTAAGGCTCTACCTATGTGGAAGAACTACTGTAAGACGTAATGAGAGAAAGTGCCGGGTCAGCCGCCTTCAGCTGAAGCCACCGCTACCTTCCACAACTGCTAGTACTTCATGAGCATTTACAGAGATGGCTGGTAATGTTAGTCTTTCCAGTGGAAATTTTCTTAACTTACCTGAAATCAGAGTTTCTAATCTCTGAAACTGACCTGTTAAGAATTTTTGAGACAGCTCACAGTGGTAATATACAATCAATTTTTAAAAAACATTTCCCCAGTTCTAACGCGCAGCAGGGGTCAAGATCCACTAAATGGTGGCAATTATGCTTAGATTTATGGAAACTGAAAATCCTTCTGAAAGTACAATTCATACATAAATGTTAAATGGAATCCTTTCTTCCTATTCTCAATACCTTAGGTCATTATAAAAGTAAAGTCTGACTTATTAAAACCATCTGGTCAGTAAGTGTTAATATCAATATTAGAAATGAAATTTAGGGCTTCCCTGGTGGTGCAGTGGTTGAGAGTCCGCCTGCCGATGCAGGGGACACGGGTTCGTGCCCCGGTCCGGGAAGATCCCACATGCCGCGGAGCGGCTGGGCCCATGAGCCATGGCCACGGAGCCTGTGCCCCACAATGGGAGAGGCCACAACAGTGAGAGGCCCGCGTACCGCAAAAAAAAAAAGAAGAAGAAAAAGAAATGAAATTTAAAATCCATTAAAGGACAATTAAAACAAAGAACAGACTGCAAAAACCATAGTCTCAATTAACCCACAATCAAGTGCATACTAAAACAAAGGTGTGAATCTAAAAGATAACTGAGCGGGGACGAAGTGAGAGAGAGTGGCATGGACTTATATACGCTACCAAATGTAAAATGGATAGCTGGTGGGAAACAGCCGCATAGCACCGGGAGATCAGCTCGGTGCTTTGTGACCACCTAGAGGGGTGGGATAGGGAGGGTGGGAGGGAGATGCAAGAGGGAGAGGATATGGGGATGTATACGTATAGCTGATTCACTTTGTTATACAGCAGAAACTAACACACCACTGTAAAGCAATTATACTCCAATAAAGATGCTAATAAATAAATAAATAAAAGATAACTGAGAATAGTATTTCCAGAAGATTAAGCTGTAGATCCTCTGTGAATAAATCCCTACTTGTGGAGATGGAATGCTTTTCTCTAATCATGAAAATGAAAAGAAAAGGGATCTTAGCAAAGTATTGACTAGGCGTCATTTTTGTGCTTATAGTATAACGAGCCCTGAGGGAGAGATCTGAAATGACAACAAATATAAAACTCCATGTTAAAGTGACACTGGGTATGACATAAATTTAGTATAAGAATCTTCTTAAAATGAAAAAAAGTTCAAACAATCACATCACATCCTGTAAACAACCATTTTTCTTCTCCGGAAATGCCCCATTACCTGAATCTCTCTTCCTTCTTTTGAGAAACATTCTGTCATTGACAGTGAAGGGTATCGGGATCTGTTACCCCAAAATATGCCACTGGGCAATAAAAACGATTTTTGAGCTGAAGGCATTTGAGTTTCTGGAATCCCTTATCTGCCTAAAAGCAGAGTGCCACCCCCCCGCACCCCCAAAGAACGCAACTCTCCTAAATCCCCTCCTGGGGCAACTCTATAATCTCCTCTTCTGGCGCCCCACCAGACCCCGTCACAGACAATCATGTCTCCCACCTGCTCTCTTAAGGCCCATTTATTTTCCAGAAAGTCACCTGCTTTTCCGTAAGTGCCCTTTCTCCCCCTTACCACCCTCACCCCTGCCTTGACTAGGTTGGGTGGAGAGACCCCAAGCTAACCCTCCCTTTGAGTGACTGATCACCGGATACCACGTGAATGCAGGACGCACGTGTTAATGACCTTCCAGTTGCTTTTCTCCCGTTGGTCTGTCCTTTGTCAGTCCAATCTACAGGGCCTGGGTGGAGAACCTAGAGGGCAGAAGGAAGAAGAATTTTTTTTCCTCCCCTGCAATACCAGGGTGTCTGATTTGACAGCTATGGCTATCTCCCAGCTCTCAAAGCTATTTTAAAAATCCTGTAAGCAACATAAGCACCTGAAAGACTTGAAGTTTTAAAACCCTTTGAGACACTGGGTCTAAGTTTCTTTAACTTTTCAAACTAAATATTAAAATATAAAAACTATATCAAAGTGCTTACTGTGTTAGGCAAAACCGCTATGAAGAAAAGACTTAATAGTGGCAAAATAGTTAGTCATGTACATGTAGTTAAAGCAAAATCAGTCTCCACACCATGAAGATCCTCACCAAATGTTTTTTATAAATATACTTAGCCTATTTTATGAATGTTATTTCATATTTTATCCTTATTTCACTATTTATCTTTTATTAAAAGATAAATTTGAAAGAGTAAAATTGTACGGTGGCAAAATGACTCTGAATTATATTTTCCTACTTGAAAAACTAACAGATCTACATTTTCTAACGGGAGAAGACTGAAAATAACACCTTATCACTATTAACAATGGCTGATTAAATCAAATAAAGGGCAGGTGATGTGGTTCTAAATACAGAACTACTGGAAATTAGTAAAACATATACAACTGTGATACATATAAAGTCACGTAGGCAAACGCTACGCAGTATCTGCTCAGTTAGAAATGAACTAGCTTTAGAAAAATCAGAGATGCCATCTGAAAAAAGCACATGAAAGACACAAAACAAAATATACTTATTTAGCATGTTAAAAACAATCACATCAAAAGAAGTGTACAGATAAAAAAGTCATAGGTGACATAAGAAAATAGTGTGTGTGCATATATTTCTTGCATATATATATATATATATATATATATATATATATATAAATCTACAGTATTTACCACTGTTGATATATATATATATTTTGGAACAGCTCTGATGCTGCTATCATAAACTAAATTGTACAGCTTGGTTTATTACAAGTCACAGAATCATGGTTTAAAATTGGAATTCACATCCCCAGCTACAATTTTATATACATTTATTTCTAAGCTTCCACATGATCTGAACCAGGAGCCTGGTGGATCGGAGTTTCCGTGCAGTGTTTGGCTGCTAATACACTGCATTTGTTTTGCCATTTAATAACATCATTACCAAGTTGATTAAAATTATATTAGGCTCATTATATACATAAAAATATTGTCACATTCACTAGCTAAACAAATGTTACTCTCATTTTAAAAGACATACTTCTGTACCTTGAAAGCTTACAGCCCCAACTTGCAACAAGAAGAACCATCAATGTTAGGTTTTCTATTCCCTATTGTTCAAATAGGATCAAAGTAATGTTGAAAACAAGCTCTCCAGTGAAACCCGAAGGCATACTTTCTTAGAGTGCCCAAAACTTGGTCAGTGTTTTGGTCATTGTAGTGTAACAGAAGATTTTGAAAGACATTGCTGATTTGTTACCATGAACCTGAATTTTTCACTGAAACAAACAACAAAAAAAAAGATTTTTGAAAGTATGAAAGTCACGCTATTTAAAAAAAAACAACAAAAAACCCACCAAAATCTGAGGTTCCTAGTAATAATTAGGATCATTTTTTACAATTTTACACAGCGATAATTTAACAGCCTACGAGCAGCAATATTCACTGACTACATTCTTTAAAGAAGAGGGCCAGGAAAAGATCATGTAAATGCCACCCCGGGGCCCTTTGCGGGGAGACTCCACAGTAATTTAAGGGGCAGAAGTAAGAAGTAACCATATTGTTAATCTTGCTTTCAAATGAATGTAAAGGAATTTGTTCTGCTGCCCCGTGTGAGTGCTTGATGATCAGTAACTTGCAGCTTCTCCTGCTGGCATCCGCCGGAGGGCTGTGTGTACACTTCCTGGGCATCTGGCAAGGAACACTCTGCTCTGAGCTTTGCGAGGGTCAGACCAGAAAAAAAGGGCACAGACGCACGAAAGCTGATCTCTTGGTGAACACGGATACATTGCGCACTGCACCTTTGGTCATAAAATTAAACTGCCCCGATTTTAAGCACCATTAAGTGGCTAGCCTTTCTCTCCAATGTCTTTAATCTTCAGATTGAAAACTGAATGAGCCATTGAACGAGAAAGCTGAGCATTCCGTGAGATGCTGAATTAAGCCAGGGCAAACCCTCAACTCAGTTTAGGACCTGGGTAAAAAATATAAGGGGGAAAAAAAACATGACCAAAAGACAAGGTAGGGAAAAGAAGTAGAATAAATTATTCCCAGGATCTAGATGAAAAGTAGTTGTTGTTTTTTTTTTAACATTTCTTTAGTTCTGTGTTCAAACGTGTATGCGTAGATGCATATAGTATCTATTAAAAGACACGTACACTACACATAGCCTTAAAAATATCTATTCTACAGTTTTTCAGTGCTTTGTATCATTACTCAAAATAGAATGGACTAACAGAGTACAAATATTCAGATTTTGGAGAAAGATATAAATGAAACTGTGCGTGCATCCCTAAATACTATTGCTATGTTTCCAGGTTAAATTCTTTTTAACAGGTTCAGTGATGATGCAAGTTAAAAGCTCATCTTAAGCAGCATCTAGGTGGGGATGAAATCACTCCCATGTATTCTTATCACTGACATACACGAGAATTGTGCGAGTTGTTCACAACTCTATAAAATACTGCTTTGGCAATTATCAACATAGCAATGTAGGTTTCATATGGTTTCTATTCTCTCGTTTGCAGCAAGTACAGATCAATTCTCACAGCAATACTGATTCCTGGATAGAGAGTCCATCCCGATTCCTGTAGTGATATACTGGAGGCGAGGGCCCTGAATACTGATACCCAGATGAACTGGCATCTTCCAGAGCTGGGGAAGTTCGATACCGCACCGGACTATCTACTGAAACTGCAGGGAGGGTGTGGTCCTGATAGGGGACGTGTTGAAAGGTGGGGTATTTGGGTAAACTGCTTAAGTGGCTACGGTTGGCATCACGAGTCCACGACTGTCCGTGCATCTCCGGTCTCAATGCGTAACCAACTTCCGACCATTTTCCGTTATTATCTGGCAAACATTCCACTGGAGGAAGGAGGAATTTCCCTTTCTTTGGTGACCCTGAATTGCCCGAATATCCTGCAGCACCAATATCAACAGGGAGAACTTCTATTCGACTGGACGGCTGGACCAGAGGAGTTGGGCGGCTGTAAGATTTCTCTGGAGAAACATCAGTCGAAAGAGTAGAACCGTAAGGTCTCCGGGAAGGATTCACTGGTGTCCCGTGGGGAAACGGTGGAGACACAAAGCTGCTGTTAGCAGCAGGGATGCGCTTTGGAGAACTGCCCTGGTAAGTGGGGGGGTCACTGTAAGATGGGGGGTGTGCTGCCCCTCGATCCTCCCCGTCTAACTGGGATGGATATTTTGCATAACTCGGAGGCTGTAATTTAAATGTAAACGTGTTTGGGGCTCTGGATGGACTGGAGCTGGGCTCAGCGTGCCTCCTTGGGCTGTGAGGGTAGGCCGCGCCCCTGGGGCTCTGGGAGCGCGCCCTCTCCAGCGCCTGCTCCAGGGCCGCACTGGCTCCATCCCCGGGTACATTGTCATACTGCGAGGCTGTGGAGCCACGCTTCCCTTCGTCCGCATCCAGCACCTTCACCTTCTGCCTGACGCTGGGGGCCCACGGATCAGCGGAACCGGGGACGGTGACTCTCGGCGTGGGGTGTGCAGCCCGACTTCGGCCTTCAATGACATACTTGGCAGTTTTCTCAATAGCTGAGATATCTGACGGCTTATTCCATTTGGGCACAAACTCCTTCCTGATGTGTGAAGTGGCGTTGCTATTCTGGTTAGCGGCTGCGTGGTTATACTGCCTGGAATTGTCCTGTGGACCCGATGGAAGTCTCCTTTGAAAATCCACCTCATCTTTAAGCTTTTTACTCTCCTCGTCCACCGACTTCCGCCGCAGCTGCCGCACCCTCTCGGGGGTACCTGTTCTACTTTGATGGGGAGGGGAATGCTCGTGGGCTTTGTAAGGTGACGAGCCGCTCTCTCTCCTGCCGTCCAGATGCGGACTTGACCTGCCCACACTTCTCTGTCCGTTGCTCAGGTGACTGACGCCAGCTGATTGAGATTCAGGGGGAAGTTGTCCCAAAGGTTTCTTTGGAAATTCATCCTCTTTACCTAAAGGGAAAGATCAATTCATAAGTGACATAAGTGCATGAATAAACGGTATCAAATATAAGAACTATATCATGAATAACTGCTTACTTTTCATGTGTGCACTCAAGCACATGCATATACATACACAGACACACAGAATTTTAGTGGCTTAGGAGAAGCATTTTTTAGAGAGATTCATACTAAGGCATACCAAAACTCAAAGTCTTATTACGCAATGTGCAGATGGGAAAATTTTATAACCTTATGAGTAAGGATCATACAGTTGTGTAACATATGATTCTTATATTTTGTTAAGATAGTTACCTGCTTTACCATGAATGAGAAGCTGATATTCTCATTTCTATTCCTAAAACAATCCTGCAGGTCAGTAGTTCAGTGTCTCACCGTTACATTCCTTCCACTTAAGCATACCTCAACTAAAACAGTTTTGGAATCTCAGTAAAATGGTTCCTAACAACCTCAAGCAGGTCTGCCAAGTTTAAAAGTTAACTGATGACCAACTGTGGTCTCCAAGTTATCCCCAAGTAGCTTATTATTATTCTCTCAGTACCTTCCACCATATACAAAGAAACGGCATTCTCTATTTCCAAATTACTACTCTAAGAGGGTCCTACTTTAAATGCAAAAAAAAGGGAAAAAGAATAAAAAAGAAAGAGAAAATCATATTACTTTTGATTTTAAATTTTAAATAACTAACATGGGAAAATTAATGAGGAATTAAAGGAACATGCAATAAGATGGGCATTTTGTAAAGTGTTTAAAATGATCCACAATATGGACTCCACTAAATACCATCCTGAAAAAAACAACAGACTCCACTTGTAAAAATTCCAAAGCTTAAGACGTATGTTTTTTATGTCTTCTATTACTACAAAACCGTATATTCTCACTTAAAAATAAGTCATTGTACTCTTCAAATGCCCCGCCACCCACCCACCTAACAAATGTTTCCTGAGGAAGGCCATGAGTCCACCAGCTGTGAGCAGGCGGACGCCGCCTCATTTTTATGTAGCTTACGGTCTAGGTGATGATAATTGTATTATTTACCCACATACCATAATTTTCTTTAAGATGTTAAAATAATTCAATGAGCTTTTCTTTGGGAGAGGAGGGAGTAGAGAATGATGGCAATACGATATCCTTCAAATAGTTAAGCTACCAGAATAAGAATTATTGAGCTAAAGATACTTTATGCTTTTCTGATTCAGTGGTCTTGGCATAATCAACATGGTTCTTGCATCTTTCTGTAATAAAGACGTTTTATGATATATGGACAGACTATTTTAAGCGATAACCCAAACTTGAAAATGCTTGTCATTGAGAAAAGCTTTGTTTATGAATGTTGCATGTAAAATAGTCTGGAGCATTCCAGTTCAGCCTGACTAGCCTCATATGAAATATCTGGAATTGAGGTGAGAAAGTTGACTCAAATGCAGCCCTAGTCCAGAATATTCACAAGTAGTCATTCAGCCTGTCAGGTTAAAAACGAACAATAAGGGGCTTCCCTGGTGGTGCAGTGGTTGAGAGTCCGCCTGCCGGTGCGGGGGACGCGGGTTCGTGCCCCGGTCCGGGAGAATCCCGCATGCCACGGAGTGGCTGGGCCCGTGGGCCATGGCCACTGGGCCTGCGCGTCCGGAGCCTGTGCTCCACGGCGGGGGAGGCCACGGCAGTGAGAGGCCCGCATACCGCAAAAAAACAAAAAAAACGAACAATAAAAATAAAATTAAAATCTATCTGGTGTCCCCCAAGTTTTTATCAGCTCTACAAGTAGCTATCCATTCAGTCCCAAGGAAACATATGAATTCCTTCTTTCCTGTAAGAAAATAACCGCAACAAACACAAATTATCTGGAAGATATGATAGAAAAACCGAATGCAGGAATTTTCTTTTCGCCTCCACTCTGACAACTCTCTAAGCGCACAACACAGTAATTGGACTGGCCGATTGATATTCCATCAGATAATAACATCAGCCTTTTCAGGTTGGTGTGTAGAAAACCTGATGGAAAACATAACCATTAAAAAGAAAAGGAAAACAGTGGCTCCTGGAGAGAGTGCTAATTCATGCCTGCAAGATGCACGTTACAGGGACAGACAGGATCAGCTGTAGAGATCCTCACGCTGAGCCCTCCATGCCGTCCCACGTCCCCACCACTCGATGGCTCCCGGCAGCCTGCAGAGAGCCGCCAACACTCTACTTCCCATGAAATCATTCTAAATGTTTCTAAAAATTCTCCACAGCGGTATTAAAAAAACAAAAAAAGAAGAACAGATTTCAAGCTGCCCGGCTGCTGCAGGTTGCACGCCTTCTCCCTAGAACACCATCGATCAGCGGAAGCCTCACCTGCTTCTCTCGGCCCAGACCCTGCGTTGGGGTTTCAGTCTTTATCAATTCACAAGTCACGAAAACAGTTGCTTGAAATTAGGTTTTTCGAGGGTTAGCTATCTGCTATGGTTTGAATGTCTGTGTCCTCCTAAAATCCATGTTGAAACTCCCCAGCGTCACCTCCATGTAATGGTGTTTGGAGATGGGGTTTGGGAGGTAATCAGGTCACAGGGTACAGCCTCGTGATGGGATTAGTGCTCACACCCTTTCCACAGTGGAGTAATGGACGGGGCCACCAAGAGAGGTGGGGTTTCCTGGGTTTTTCCTCCCCCAAACCTCGGGGACTGCAGCCACGGGTCCCTCTGAGTTGTGGTCGACAGTGGGGTGAGGAGTGGCCCTGGCAGAGCAGGAGGAATGCCCAGCTGGAGAGGCAGTAGTCAGACAGGGGGTTCTGGACCCCACGCGGGCAACCCACCTCCTTCTGCTGTCACGCCTGCCCAAATGCACCAGAGGGGGTGACACTGAAGAGGGAAGGAAAGGCCGGTACCTGATTAATGTGAGTGACGTGCTGGGCAGGGCCTGGCACGTGTAGCCCTGGGACAGAGCCACATGCCCTGTGTCCTCTGAGGTGGACGGGGCACCAGAGCAGGGGGCGAGAATAAACGTTTACTTTTTCTCTTCCTCAGCAAGGTCTGTGTCTAAAAACCACTTCCTTGTTATGAGCTGAACCGTGCCCCCTCAGAATTCCTATGTTGAAGCCCTAATCCCCCGAACCTCAGAAGGTGACTGCATTTGGAGATAAGGCGTTTACAGAGGGGACTAAGGTTAAATGAGGTCAGTGGAGTGGGCCTCTCATCCAACATGACAGGTGACCGTATAAGAAGAGGCGATGTGGACAGAGACACACACAGAGGGAGGACCACGTGAAGACACAGTGAGAAGGTAGCACCTGAAGCCAAGCGGAGAAGAAACCAACCCTGCCCTCACCTTGATCTTGGACTTCCAGCCTCCAGAATCATGAGAAAATCAATTCTGTTGTTTGAGCCACTGTCTGTGGCGCTTTTGTTGTAGCAGCGCGCACGGACTAAGACACTACCCTTCGGTCTACATCCTAAACCTCAAAACTGATTTGCTTTCACTAAACACAGATTTTATGGATTGCTTTTCCTGTTAGTGAAAAGCCACATATTTCATTATTTATGATCATCTGCTTGTATGGTTCTAGGACATTTGCAACGTCGACAATGTAATGAAACCAACTACAGTCGTTAAAACTTATTTTAGGGGCTTCCCTGGTGGCGCAGTGGCTGGGAGTCCGCCTGCCGATGCAGAGGACACAGGTTCGTGCCCCGGTCCGGGAAGATCCCACATGCCGCGGAGCGGCTGGGCCTGTGAGCCATGGCCGCTGGGCCTGCGCGTCCGGAGCCTGTGCTCCACGGCGGGGGAGGCCACGGCAGTGAGAGGCCCGTGTACCGCAAAAAAGAAAAAAAAATTTTTACAAAACCAGGTCAAAAAGACAACTGAACACAATAAGTGTGGAGGGTGGACACAGGCAGTAACAGACCCACAGGGGTAACTCGAGTTCCGTTACTTCACAGATTCTTGTGATTTCCTATGGAAATGCAGACATTCAGCTGTAGCTACTTACTGATGCTGATAAAGATAAAGGGCATCTTTGTAAGTGTGGTACCCAGAATTTAAGCAATATTCTAGGTTTGGAGTAACTGAAATGCAGTACAGTGGGGTTTAATAAGGGGCTGATGCAATGGAAGAAATTTTTTAAGAACACTTTACAGTGGTGGTGGGAGGGAGAACGTGAGGGGGAAGAGGTACTAGGGGAGAAAACTGAACATCACGTCCTGTTCCTGTGTTCTATTGTCCATAGACTTCCATCCTGAAATCCTTTGGATACATAAAAGGCCCATATCAGTAAAGACTAATAGGACACAGGGTAAAAGGCAGGATTACAAAAATAAGGCACATATTTCTCAGGAGAAGGAATAAAAAAGTGAGAAGGAAGTAATGGACTGATGTGGTAATTTCATGCCTGTAACAAAATGGAAAGGTACGTGTCATCCATACAAGGGAGTTTTAATTTTTCAATATAATGGGTAAGAAAAGTACTCACCTTACACTTAACACTACTTTATATTCAAGTCAATACACGAATTTCTCTAAGGAAGAGACATTAATATTCTATGCATCTACACATTATATTAGAATTAAAAGAAAATTTTAGCATGTTCCATTTACTTAATGGTCAAGAGGCCAAAATCCACACCGGGAAAAAAAAAATCTGTGACTGTTCTAAAATATCAAAAAAGCAGCTTCTTAAAGTTCTTTCATGGTAGCCCATAATACATTTCCCTTTCACCTTAGCAGAAGACAACCTACTTAAAGTGCAGTCCTACTTATTTTGCAGACCTTCCTATAGCATCTAAAATATTAACAGAATTACCGGTAAGGTTTTGACAAAATGTCCACTCATTCAAATGTAATTAATCTGAATTAGAGTAACGATATACCATTCAAATAGTACCAAAACATAACGGTTATAAATACCCAAGATCTACGTAGCTAGGAAACTAGATATAGCAGGGTTTGGAGAGAAAAAAAAATAATCCAGTGCAGACAAAAGGACATTGCGTCTAATTAATTTCTGAATGTCAATCTCTCACTAGGAACTAGGATTCTGTAAGAGGTGCATGGTGAATACCTCGGCTGTACAAAGACATTTAGAGGATATGGCCTCTTTGCCCCCATAAAGATTATCAATAAGCATGGAAGAAAGGAAAGTAATTTGAAAAAGGCAGTAGACAAGGATATAAGAAGGAGCTTTCTAAAATGGAAGTGCTTAAGAAACCTAATTCCTCCCAATTCTAAGGACAGTAATGCAAGTTAGGCAAGGAGGCCTTGCTTGGTAAGGGTAAGCTTGTTCCCCGCTGCCAGGGCCGGGCCGCAGTGCTGGGAACAGTGCCAGGCTACACCTACTGTCCATAGTGACCTGGGACCGGGGAGCAGGGTAGGGCCACCAACAGTTGCTGACTGATGACACACGGACTCTGCCACGTCCAGTTTATTCCTGTAAGTGACCCAACCCCTCTGAACAGCGCAGCTCCTCAGTGATTCAAGAGCGAGCAAATGTGCACTTGCTGTTGGCATCTCTAAGGGTCCTCAGGGCCACCATGACCATGGGAAGGGCTGTCTCTCAAGAGGAGTGAGAAGAGGGTGGGAAGGAGGGACCAGAGGGGAAAAGAGAGAAAGAGGGGAGAGGAGGAGGGGAGGGAGAGGACGGGAGACAGAAGGGAGGAGCGTGGAGGGCAGCAGGGCCGGGGGGGCCCACGGTGGAGCATCGCCCCCCCACCCCCGAGGCCGCTGGGGCCCGCCGTGTCTGAGCAGGGACCTGCTCCTGTTTCTCAAAAACTGAGCAAGGCCGAGTCTCGGCAACCACAGCACCAAAACCCAAGGGCCCTGCGCCTGGGGGAGCTGACCTCTGTGTGTAAGTACAAAATCAAGAAAAAAATCTACCCAACCTCGTTGCAAGGCGGTTCTTCCGTGAAGATTAGTTATTCAACTTTCCCTGAGCTGAAGCCGTACTAGGCAGACCCTCCAAGAAGTACATATGCCATCGTCATATTTTCATATGCTAATAAATATCCCCTGCCCTTTCCCACAAAAGTAGATCCAAATAAGCATTAAAGATTCTTGTACAATCTCTTCATAGATTCACCTTAACCTCCTCGAACTACCTGTCCCCCAAAACACACACCGCTATACTTGGCCTTTGTTTGGTTTAAGTATCTCCTTTCACCCCTAAGCAACTGAGTGTAACTAAAAGATTCAAGCATAACTGATGTCAAAAGAGATAGCTATAAAGAGGCAGTAAGTACTAATATTTATTATCCACACTTTCCCCTGAAAACCAGGAGTTTAAACGACATTTTTCACTAGCGCTCCGTTACGTGAGTGGTGAGCATTTTTATGCCAGTGCCAACAATCAGGCTACTCTGCTCAAAAAAAAAAAAAAAAAGGAACTACAGCTTGATATAGCTCAGGATAAACGCAAAAATGCTTATTATTTTTTCTTAAATAACTTTTTTCCTTGAAAAAAAAAAAAAAGAAAAGCCACCGAAAAGAATACTCCTAAGCATCCCTAAAGAAATACGGGAGGGTCTCAAGCCCCTTTGGGCAGGTCCATCTCTGATCTTACTCAGGTCTCTGTCACCACCCAGTGGACACCACACGCAACTACAAGTCTCACAGACTGCCTCCGAACACATGAGCAGCTTTCTTCGCCCAAGGATACGTAATTACAGGAAAGTGCTCTCAATGCTCTTCCCTGTGAGCAACTTTCTACTTTTAAATTTCAACAACAGAATACATGTACTCTGACTGTTCTAACGGTTTTCAGTGATAAATGGTGGGGAGCACTGTCAGGAAAATTCTTCTGGGACAGAATCATCTTATTCCTTTTTCCAGATTAAATATTAAGTCCATTTGAGGTTTCAAATATTGTCACAAAATTACTGATTTCAAATTTATATCTGAAAAACAGAGCAGTTTCATTTCTGTTTAATGTACTATAAGCCAGAAGAATATACAATTCGAACACTATTACAGCTTTCAACAAGGTGATCAAAAGAAATACAGTATGCTTTCAAAATTATAGCTATGATAGTTTCAAAAAATCCAAAAAACTTATTGTAGTTAGGCTCATAGGCTGGACTTCCTTTCTAGCAGATTAAACTTGAAAGATAAGGGAAGCTGAAAGGACATAATCATTTAACACATTTATTTTTATAAACCTATTTTAATGCCACATAAATTAAATAGATCTTTGTGAAATAATTTTTAAAACCTGTACTGTGTGTTTCCTAGGGTTTCAAGTCACAAACACAGTACAAACTGCTGTGCATGTGTAACATCAGTTTCCACTATACAAACAAACAGGAGTGAAAACGCACTCAAACCCTCAAAAATTGAGACAGAACACATAACTAAACTGACTTGTCTGTGTGTGCAATCGAGATGCAGAAAGATTCCATCACCTCCAAAACTGCCTCCCGCTAACCTTTTGTAGACGATAGGTTTTTATATCCTAAAAAATACATTATAGCTTCATTTGTTCATTAAAAAATATCGACTGAATGCCTACTCTATGCCAGGCACTGCCCTAGGTGCTGGCGACACGAAGACACGGTCACGGTCCTCCAGGAACTTACTGTCTAGTGCAGACATCAAACTAACTGGCACGGGGGTGACGCCCAGCGAGTGTGGGGACAGATGCACACACGGGGCAGGCACGTTTCCAGCACAAAATACCGGTGACCAAACTCTGCGGCTTTGGGGAGGTGGGGGACTGGCAGAGTCTTCAGGAAGGAGACAAGGCTTAAGCCAAGCCGTGTGCACTCAGCAGGGTGGACTGGGTCAGAGGCCCGGGTGGTGCGGGGCCCCCTCACCACGTTCCCCCCTAACCGCCAGCATGAGCAGAGCAACATCAACCAGTGTTCCCGTTGTTATTTATCCACCCCTCTCCTTTTATCCCCACACTACTCTCCATCCCCTTTCTACCATTTCCTAGTAAAGGATCTTACGAACGACTGCTACCAGGTTTCCTCATGTGTAAAATGAGGACTAGTACTTTTTCTTAGAGTTATTTTAAGGATTAAATGAGACAGTGCATGTGGTATGTGGCAGAGAGCAAGCATTCAATACATACTAGCTGCTAGTTAGATGCTAAATCATCCCATTCCATTACACAGGTTTTGAGATTTTATTCTCGTGTTCAAATAGTTCTATTATATACATATATTTTTTTCTTTACGTGTCTTTTACTAAAACTTGCCTTAAACTCTTTTTAAAAGTAGGCAAGACATTTAAAAATAAATGTTGAAATAGCAAGAATATAGTTAATAACTGCTGTTCCAAATGCATTCCCTGCTACAGGAAAGAATTAGTAGAAAAGGGACATCATCACACTGCACCAGGGAGGGGTGACCTTCCAGAGCACAGGTGATGGTCTCACAGGGCCCAGGCCCACACTCCATTATTGCTGTGACGGCTTGTTTTCTAGTGAATCCTGAAGACCCAGAACAAACCTCGGAGAACACGGATTAGACCCCTTGCAATTAAATAACTAAAAGCAGAGCATCTTGGTTTTTAGCAAAGGTGTGTTCTTAAAACTTCTTTCTACTGTGCTCTCTCCACATTTTCTTTTTTTCTCTTCCACTCACCCGGTATCACCCTCCAACCATCTTCCCCCATTTATCCTGTTTCTAGCTCTATTATGACCCTATTCACACTCTATTATTGTGTAAATTCTGTCTCTCCTCTGTGCACCCTGAGAGCATGAAGCACGTCATTCTTTTCAGTTAAATCCCCAACAGAGCACCTAGCAGAAAACCTAACAGGTGGTCCTGGAAGATGTTTTGAAATAAATGAATAAAATATATTATTTAGGGCTTCCCTGGTGGCGCAGTGGTTGGGACTCCGCCTGCCGAGGCAGGGGACACGGGTTCGTGCCCCGGTCCAGGGGGATCCCGCGTGCCGCGGAGCAGCTGGGCCTGTGAGCCATGGCCGCTGGGCCTGCGCGTCCGGAGCGCGACGGGAGAGGCCACGGCAGTGAGAGGCCTGCGTACCGCAAAAAAAAAAAAAATAATAAAAAAAAAAATATATATATATACTGCAACATACTGCCAAGAGCCCTGGATCAGCAGTCAGGAAACTCTGACTCTAGTGGCAGCAATAATGCTGTGTCTGCAGGTTCTGCAGCTTCAGAGTTAGCATTTTAGTATCAGTTTCCTCTTCTAGAAAATGGGACTTTTACTTGCTCTGTTACTGTGTATGGTTCCACAAAACGAGATGATGAAAGTAAAAAGCGCTTATTGTTAGGGTAGCTTAAAGCACCATGGTCACTTCTGTTGAAATAACATTATTTGTATATCAAACTTCCTAAATTTAAGTAGGGACTCTATTAGGACAGGCAGATTTAATTAATATGTTTATTCAATTTTTCTTAAAATCGAAGATTTTAAGAAATCTGATTTACATGATGTCATCACAAGTATGCTGCTGTTTTCAAACAGAAATGGCCCATGTTAACTGCACTGTGTCTTCCAATCTTAATTTTAAGTTACACATAAAGAGTCTGGCTATTTCCTTACCAGGTTCTGGAAGGTCTAACTTTGCCCGCTTTAGTTCTACCATAGAAATCTGGAGCTGCTCTATTACAAAGTCGTCTTCGAAGAAAAAATCCTTTGCCAAGGTCTCCTGAAGAAATTCCACAAGTTCTTCCATAGACAATTTCATAAGATGTTCTGAGAAAGGAGGAAAAGGTAAACAACAGCTACTTTAGGTTGAGAATATAATTATTCTATTGTGATGTATGTTTTTAAAAGGGCACAGCATACAATTTATACATGGCCTTGTGAATTTCACCGAAACTGAGTAGACCAACAGCTTTTCTGATATTAAAGCAGTCACAGAGAAAAGCAGGTACCCCTGGGGGCTTGGGGAGAGGCGAATGCTGCTAAATACGTTCTCGTTGGTGTAAGAATAACCGGACCTGGGTATTAATATTCCCCCAGAGCCACCCAGGATGACATGTGCGCTTTCTGTTTCACTGATACGGAGCTCCAACTGTTATAGGCACATCCACTTCTAGGTCTGTATTTTAACTGTCTCAGAATTTCTCAAAAATCTGGATTATTAATTTTATTTGTATTTCTACGTATGAAAAAATTCAAATTACAGATACAAAGCAGAAAGTAAAAATCAGCTAAGATCCACTAGCCAATGACCTACAAGCAGATGTATGTACATGTGTATCAATTTACAAAAATAAATGATACTCTCTCTGTTATTCACCTCCTTGTTTTTCCCCCACTCGATGGCGTACATCACTGATACCTCTCACTTCAACAAACATGATTTTATACCACCATCATTAACTATATAAGAGTCCGTTGTATTGTACGCTCTATACTTTACTTAATTGGTCTTCTAATATTGGGCATTTAGGTTGCTTCTAATTTTTTTTTTTACTGTTTAAAATCACTGTGTGATTTTTTTTTTTTTTTTTTTTTTTTTTTAATATTTAATATAATTTTTTTTTTTTTTTTTTTTTTTTTTTTTTTTAGTAACAATGTCTCTAAATATTGGTAAGGCCATCAGGGAAAAAAACAAGAAAAAAATCTTACGAGCTTCAGCTAACTATTGGTCCAGTTTTTGAAGGTTTATATGGTGAAGGAACTTCATGTAAGTCCTTGAGCTGTGTTTTCCTAACAAGAAAAAATACACAGCAGCAGACAAAGGTTTTCCACAGCTTATTTAATCTAATGACATGGTAGGAAAAAAACTAACCGTTATGCTTAAAGTTTATTTACAAAAGGTAGAGAAACTTTTTACTTGTCAAAGTTAAGTAAGAGTCTGAAGTAAAACATAATTTAAGAGGAGGAAGAGAGCTACAGGGAAATAGAACATCATGGTTTTACTTTCTCACTGCTTAGGGAACATTAAACTAATAATGTTTAAACTAACTAATGTAAACTAATGATGTTTAGTATACTAAGAGTATACTTTTGCTCTACATTTTTGTCAGTTCATAATCCAGAAAGAGAGAAAAGAAGTAAAGGGGGTGAGAGGAGAGACTGATTGATTTCCTGCGGTTATGATAGACACCGAGTCTTGGGAGATAATTCATTGCCAAATTGTTTCATCTTGGTGTTGTGGTTTGCGTGTTGGCGGAGGGAGGGAAATGGACCACAACACTTCTGAATCCTCTTCTTTCAGAGTAAACTATACAGTAGTGATTTCAAAGTTTCATTCCAACCTAGAATTTGGATAATCTGGTGCTCCTGAAGGCCACGCTTTTCAAGTAAGCAATCAAGCAATCTCATATCAAAGTACCTAACACATTCTTAGAACAAAGCCAAGCACAGCAGGGAGAAAAACTATAAAACATGACCCCAAGCACTCAATTAGCTTATAAGTTATGGGGGCAACTGAAGAGATGATCATTCAAGAACAAGATAGGATGCAGAGTATACAATGAACGTGAACCTAGGCTGTGCCCTAGGCTGGAAGTGTTGTGTGAGGTTCCAAAGCTTCCAGTGACTCTCTTCTCTGCATTGTTACAAGATGAGTCACCAAAGTTTTAAGGTTGGGTTGAGACTTTAAGACGGAAAAACGTTCTTCATATTCATAAAGAGAAACTCTCATTCCTTGACTTAAGGAATTCCTTGACTTAAGGCACAGCATATCAAATATACAGAGCCCTTGAAATATTGCAACTGAAGGCTTTTAAAAGCCTTGCGTTACATTTGGGCAACTGTGGACATGGACTGTACTTGCTTCAGAGGCCGCAAAGCAGCCAAACAGGGAGATGAGCTGGAGGTTCCCCAACTCTGGTCTACGGCGTGGGGCTGGATGCTTTTTTCCTGGGTGAAGGACACAGTAAAGGAAAACGTCCTCACTAGCCCTTTTAGCTAAGGGGCCTGGCTTCTTTAGTCTCTCCCTTTTCCTACTACAAACCTGAGATTCAGACCAATGAAAAGAAATAAGGGATCCCCCCTGGAAACAAATAACTAACAGGAATATTATTATTAGTGAAACATATACACTGCATTCTACTGAAGTGTGAAGATGAAAATGACATAGAGAAAAAAATCAAAGACGTTTTCCAACGTAGTAAGCTTCTGGTCATGAGGAAGAACCAATGAAAGTAAAGTGCCAACTGAAGATAATTTCACTGATTCCCAAGAATTTTTTAAACTCATTACTGAAAGAAAATGAATTTGAATTTGGGTGGGTAATGAGAAATCAAAGTTAAAACAAGGCTAGGTTTTTGTGAAATCTTTATAATTAAAACATTTTCTTACTTCTGTGTAATTTTAAGATTGTGTAAGACATAGCAGTAAGAATTCGTTCTCCTTCAAAGATATAGATGTCCCATATTCTGAGGTTTAGTGTAAAGGGAGTCTACAATTAAAACAAAACAGAAATAAGATTAACAGTTTGCCCTTGGCTGGAATTTGTAATTTTATGATTGGGCTTTGTAAATAAATACTCACCCGATCAAGGAAACATTGAAAAAACCATTTCATTGTGTAAAAACTTGTGTAGATTTCTTGAGAATCCTGGAAAAAACAAAGACTTCACAACTTCTGGATTGTAGCACACAAAATATGACAATACAATACTAAAAGTTAGGCAGGTTTTTGGAGGTAGCTGTCACAGCTAAACAAAACCATTCATTACAAATCTCTTTCGTGCTGGAGTAGTTCCACTTCTTCTCTCCTGACTCCCTCTTCTCCCTCAATTTTACTTTTGAAAATCACCCTGAGAATAAACCCTTCATAAGATAGGACTGTAATACAACACTTTGCTTCTCTTTAACATATTCTAAAGGGACGTATCCTTGCTTTACTAAATTACTGTGTTTTACAGGACAGCATGTATATGGTTCACTGAGGATGAGTTTGTATGACTCTTAAAATATTTTAGTGTGATTAAAAAACCTCCCAAATCACTGAGAAATCACACATCCTTAAAAACTATATTGTTCGTATATATCAGCTTCAAAGTTTGATTCTATGAGTTAGGGCTGTGATAGTTCATCCGTACTCAATTTCACAAATCTAACGTCCTTTGAAAAACTGGGAATTACAACTGCTCAGTAAATGACATGGACAAGACTATAAATCAATAGGGTAATTGGGACCAATGGCTGCACTCAGGTCTTCTAGCTTTATTCTTGGTGTAGGTGGGTGTAAGTCAATGTCACATCTACCTACCAAGTGCTGCTTAAGCTTGGACAAAAATTTATTCAGTATTTTTTCATGATGTTCTTGAAACCTCAAGAGTTTGGGAAAACCATGGACAAAAAATCCTAGAATATAAACATAAAAACAATACTTCATAAACAATACCAACAGAAATCTCTATTTTAAAGTGCAACATACTTCTTTCATCTTTTAACTGTCAACAACAACAAGAACAATGAATCCAGTAATCACCCAAATATTTTTCCTCCCCTCCAAGGAAACAATTGTGTATAAGCATTGGTTAATGAAACTTACAGTCTAGTATGTGTTTGCTAAGGATCTTCTATATCCTTGTAAAAGTATAAAAGAGGACAGAATATTTCTGAATTAAAAGGGAAACTAAGAAAAAATGGAAACTGAGGCCATTTATCAAAATTATCTGTTCTCTTGAAGTACTGGGTCATGTCTTATATGTACACATTTTTATAAGTTATTCTAATCTTGATTACTTATTTTGTTTTACCATTAATACATTACATAACAAACATTTTATTACCCTTTTCAGGCTTACTCCAATACCATGCCAAAGTTATTATCACTTTTTAATCCTTTCTATAAGTGATACTTAACATCAGCTAAAACATACAGGCACTATATGATCGATGTTAATATATTCTATCCCAACTCATTATACAATATAATCTATAAGATTTCTAGGAAGTAACTGTAAATGGGAAGTTAGTATTCATTTTGTGTATTTAAGTCATGGAACTTTACATCTATTTTCATTCAAAAATTTCCTTTCAGATATTCTATATAATCTGTTAAAAAGGATGCATACACAGTGAATTTATCATTTATCCACATTAGTGTTTTCCAACCTGGGTTCTACTTAACTTCGAAAGATGTTACTAAATGTTCTGTTTTTAAAAGAATCCAGGAGAAATACTGTGTGTTATATATACCCTTCTTGCCTATGTTCATGAGGCATAGGAACGTCTGAATGTTTCTAAGTTGCTTTATGGACTAAAGAAACCTCGTTTTCTTCGTTTAGCTCATCTCTCAGCCTTACTGGCTCTTGGAGTCCATTTTTCCGCACAGCACACCTGTTTCCAAAAAGTGAAACTACGTCCCTCCAAGAACCCAAAGAACACACTGCTAGGAAACACAGCTTTATAATCTTCAGGGAAGGGCTACTTCTTAGCTAATTCTCCGCTTTCTAAGGCGCGTGTAGAACTTCCCAGACAGCAACTTCCTCCCTTCGTAACACTGTCCAGTGAAGCGAGTCCATAAAAAATCCATGTCTCTCTTTCTGTGCCACTTTCATGGTCAATTTGATAGGAATGGGAGTTGGAAGAATTTCAATAAAAAGTCTGATTTTGAAAAAGGCAATCCCTTCAGTAATACACAAGTGCCCAAGGGTGCTAAGATACCCAACTCTGCTTCACTTTTCAGTGGTGTCCCAGACTTGATATTTTAAATCTCATTTTCTTCAGCCCTCACTTTTTTCTACACATTTGTGATACCAATTTCATATAGGAAATGCAAAGAACTGAGGTAACCTTCAGTTATATAATTTCACAGGCAGACCTTGAAACAAATATCTCTAAGTACAAACTTACCCATAATAATGACCTAAACTGCTTTGGTAATGTAAATGTTAGGATAGTAAAATTAATACTGCTTTATAGATTAGACTGGTGACAATAATTACTGAAAGCAAGCTATCAGGTTTGTTTAAAAGAATGAATTTTCTAAAATTGGGCGGTATTCCACATAATTACACACTACTTAAACCGTAACATTCCACTGTACTTCAAGATATATCAGCAACACCATCTCAGGGTAAAGCAAAATGAAGACTGATAAAGAAGAGTTATTCTTCTTCAAGATGTCTTTTGAAATGATACTGTCTATTGGATGGCAGCTCAATACAATGTGTCTTACTACTGGAGTCTCTTTATGGGATGCAAAGTGACCAGAAACAGTTATCATGCAGACAGTATTTATTTTTTAAAAGATTCACAGGGAACACTGAGGGAGAAACAGACAGACAGACAGACACACACAATGCCCCCACAATAACCACATGGTAAGAATGTGAGATTTAATAAACTATGGTCTATGGAAGGTCATACTTTTGAAACTTTAAAATACTACTTTAATATGCGGCAGGTTCCCTACCGCATAAAGCTTTAACATTCACAAACAGAACTAAGATGGTCCATTCTCAGAGTGATTAGTGTTAAAATTGTTTTTAATTTGGTATTATCACACGCAGCGGCACTGGGAAAATAATTTTGCATTACACGGACAAATGCCACTTTTATTTCCAAGAGAAGCTGCAATCCAAACTCTCGCAAGTAAAGTTTACTGCATATGCTTGGCAAATATAACGAAAACGTTATTAAAAACCTCCTTCTAACTTGAAAACCAAAAAATTATGCAAGTTTTGAAATATTAAAAAATAAAGTGGCCAGAATATGTTATCAGCCTTTTTACTGTAAAATGGAGTCAATTTTACAGCTGAGACAACTGAAACACACACATGAAATACAAAACTACTCAATTACGGTGTACCTTTCCTTTAAACACCTGTCATTTCTCAATTAATACTCTTTGACAAAGAAGCAGACATCACAACATCCAGTCAACAGGAGACATCTCACTGAATGCACGACTGTCCAAAAGTTCTGAACAAAAGCTCTCAATAATTCAGTTTTTCCTAAATTCTTCTAAACCTAAATTAGTTTCTCCTGACTGGGCCAAGTAAGGAAAGAGTTTTAAAATGTCAACAGTATACTTTGTAGTAAACACGAAGGAATATAAACATGAACAGAAAAGTTTAGAAATAGAGAAGAATTAAATGAGAAACTAGTAACAAACACTAATGAATTAAAGAAGCCCCTAAACATTTTTTTGTACTTAACCCTACCGATCATCTTCCAAAGTCTGACTTTGTTTGAATTTGCCTTTTTCTCCCTCCCTTGTTTGTTGCTGATGATCAACCATGGGGTTTTCTTACCATGCATGGCATGTTTGGGGCCTGAGAACAGTTTGACCAGGGCCCAGAAGGCGTCTTCTTCATTCATATACATGAGGAGTAAGGCTGTGATCTGGCTCATCCCCTGACAGTATCCAACTTCCTAAAGAGAAAACGAGAACAGAGAAACTGGGGGTTTTCAGATCGAATTACATGTACATGCACATATAAAAAACTGATGTAGAAAATAATCAGAAAATGCCTAAACACATTATTTAATGGCAATTCTATAGAGAGATATTACAATCTCAACAGCACTGAGCCACATACTATCAAAGAATGCACCTGGTATTGGAGAATAAACGAAGAAGTACAGGCAAGTCTAACCTATGCAGATTTTACTGAGCCCTGTTCAGTAAGTACCATTATACCTTCTGTAGAGGCTGTTTATTTTTCTGTTTTGTGTGTGATTCTCAGCTCAACAGTCCTCTTCTTTGCTCAGATGCTGGCAAATTTCTCTCCTCATATAGTTCCCAAATTTGCTGTCTTTTCTCCTCTACACTTCCGGACCCTTATACAGACACATTGCGGGGTACCTATCCAGCCTATGCTCCTTCCCTGAGAACTGCCCACTCTCCCCATAATCCCTGCTTATAACATGGCCTTAGAGATTCATGTCTGTGCCATGTGAACCAAAGCTGATGGAGCAGAGGACACCTGGCCCCAGGGAACCATTAACTGGCTGCCAGACTAATTTACTAATTTCTCTAAGAAAACTGAATAAAGCCACAGAGACTGCAATCCGATGGTGGTATGCACTTGAACAGAATGGTCATGGTGAGTCCATGGGTGCAATACTAGCCTTGGAAAAACAGATAAGCAGACAAACAAAGCAATCTGGAGAGAGAACCAGTGGAACGAACAGTTCCCAGAGACAATCAGAGTTACCACATGGCCACAGAGTGGAAGAGAGAGAAAGGGAAGCTCTTCTCACTGGAGGCTTCTCACTCTCCAGCTCCAACTCCCCTGAGCTTCATTTCTGTGAGAAGTCCCTTTAATCAATCCCTTTTTAACTTGCCCTTGTTTTGAGTGAATTTCTGTCCCTTGTAACTTAAAGGTTTTGACTATAACAGGAATGATATACCCCAAGGTTCAAGGTGTCCTTCCTGGAATCTGTTCAACAAGCATTTATTTGGCATCTACACTGGTTTCGACACTAGTTGATCTTTCCCCCCAAATCTTTCTCCCCCCAGAGTAATCAATGCCTTAAGAATAACATGTTCTAATACCTAAAAGCTTAGTTTTGGCCCACTCCAGGAGACAGCAAGTAGGTACATATGGTCTCCCACCTGGACCTCACTGAATAAATGGAATGTGATCCTGGAAGGCAACCTCCCGGGGCAATGAGGAGTCACCAAGAGTCAGGCAGAAATTAACCTAGCTACCACTTCCTGTCCTCCTAGCCTGCTCATTCCAGTCCTACCTGCTTAAAATAAAAACAAGACAAGACAAACAACAACACAAAACGTAACAAAACAGTCTGGAGAAAGAGGGGGGGAAAGTGAGCTTCGCTGTCATACTGTGGTTTTTCCACTTCCCAACCAGCTCTGCTCTAAGACGCCAGGGGGGCCACAGGAGCCTCAGGAAGATCCACAGAGACCTGGAGACCATCCAGTCCTGAGATGAAGAAATGCAGGCCAAAAGGGCCTTGTCAGGAGGGAGGCCCAAAGATCTCCTCCAGGTGTTCAGAGCACAACTCAAAAAGCTGTGGGCAGGCGTGCTCCAACTTACTGTATTGTAGATAGAATATGCAGCAAGAACGTGGAACAGGGATTGCTGCCTAGAAAAAGAAATTTACATTGAACACAATTTAGTTTTTTTCACATATTTTTAAAATTATAAACTTAAAAAATAAACAACAGTTTGACTGAAGATAAACAGATAATCCAGATAAAACTACTACTATAATAAGGAAATGATCCCCGAGCTCAAATTTAAACAATACAGTCTAAACTTGAGGTTAAATTTGACAGAAAGGGTTTATAGCAAAAAGCACGAAGGGCTTCACAGCTTCTTCAATTTGTTCCCCTCTTTCACTGAACTACTCTCACTATAGAATCACCCCCACAGAAGGAGCCAGCTGGACGGAGCTGCAGACCCGCCTTCTGAAGACTCACTCACACTGCCAGCTCCGAGAAGTACCTTGCGGGGGGCGGGGGGCATGTCCCCCAGGAGGCGGTATACACCCGAAATCAGCCTCCAGCACCAGCGCTGCCTCTCCCAGGATCCAGGGGTGGGAACGGGAGTGGCTCCACACACCGTTACCTCTCGGGTCCACTAACAACATGCTTGGCTCTGCTGCTCTAGAGGTCCTGGCTCCAAAGAGAGGAATGTCCCCACCAGGAGACACAATGATTCCACTGAACTGGAAGCCGAGACGGCCACCTGGCCACTCTGGGCTCCTCATGCCTCCGAATCAACAGGCAAAGAAGGAGGTGACTGTACCGGCTGGAGGGACTGATCCCGACCACTAAGGGGAAGGGGGTGCTAGGACACAGTGGACGTAAGCAGGAGCACGTCTAGAACACAGAAGACACTTAAGGTGCCTCTGAGTATAACCAAACCCTGTGATTAAAGTCAACGGATAACCTCCACAAGCAAATTCAGGCAGGACTGCTAATGGTCCGGACTCTTCAGGAATAAAGGTTTAGGCCCCCCCACCAGGCAAAGAACCGCAGCCAGCCGAGGCACTTGCTGAGGGCAAAGGGAATATGGGGTGGGTAGTGGGAAGGTAAGTAACCAACCAGCAGTGACCACATGCCCAGTCGCAGAACTGCTGACTATATCTGTTTTGAGCATTTCCTTATTTTGATATCAATATGTTTGTGTATATACTTTAATGTGTCTTCTTCCTTCTCTTTTCCTTATCATCTAACATAAGATGTTTAATAATAGTTGACTTTATATCACAGAATTTAGGTTACACATATCAACGCAAAAAGAGTAAACACTGCCCAAGGGCGCTGCATCTTTTCGTGCGGAGGGGGTTAGCATATTTTCAGTCGTAAGTAGAATAGCTGTACCATGTCAGGCAAAGCATGCCTTTATCGTCTTTATGCGGAAATTAAGTTGACGAGGGTGGACTGTGATGGTTAGCTTTACGTGTCCACTTGGCCGGGCTACAACCCCCAGTTATTCAAACCCTAATGTAGGTGCTTTGTAAATGTCATTAAAGTACACAGTCAATTGACTTGAAGTAGGGGAGAGTGCCCTAGATAATCTGGGAAGCCCTGGGTCAAGCAGTCAAAAGGCTGGAAGAGCAGATCCGAGGCTTCCCTGAAGGAGGGACTCCTCCTGTGGACCGTGGCTTCACTCGCGCCCACCCGAGAGCTCCAGCTGCCCTTCCTGACGGCCCACCCTACAGATCTTGAACTTGCCTAGTCAGTCCCTGCAACTGTGTAAGACAATTCCCCACGATAAATCCCTTAGTTTACATCTCTTACTGGTTTCTTTTTCTCTGGTTGAACCTTAACTGATAGGAGGTCAGCAAAACTGTACCTTTCATTCCTAAACTGTCACAGTCATTTCATTTGCGTATTTCCCATCTTTCTAGTTTCACCTTTGCATGGAGTCAAGGATCTAAGAATATATTTATTGCTGACACGGCTCTCAAAAAGTAACACAATCTCTCATTTCTTTGATAACACTTTTAATAAAAGTATCTACATATATTTAAGAATTCCCAGATCATAAAATGATTTATAGCAATTTTATAGCACCTACTATGTCAAAGGTTAAAAATTTAAGTTAAATTAGCTCCTGAATTGTACACCATATGGAACAAATGATCCACCAAAATTTAAACCCTTAGAATTGGAATCAAAATTATCATCTATACAAGACATTCCAAACACTGACATTTCAAATTGATAAAGACTATTTGTACATGCTATTCATAGTTCATAATACTAAACTTTACTTACTTCACACCGTATCTGTCTCTAAACATGATATGGTCCCTAAATGTGCGGTTGACATCAAGGTCTATTTGTCTGATATCAGGTGAACAACCCCGTGCTCTGTGTTTTAATTTCTGAAGAGGAAAAAGAGGGGAAGAAAGCACATTTTTATGTAAATCGGTTGTCAAAAAGCCTATGACAAATGGTAAAATAATTCTCTTTAAAAAACTTTTGACTTAGGAAAGCCATTTCCATGGTTCAAAAATGAAAATATGAAAAGGTGCACAATGAAAGGTTTCTCTCCATCCACACCCCCTCCTCTCCCTCCTCCCACCCCCTCCTCTCCCTCCCATCCTGCCAGTACAGTTAGACTTTCATTTTGGATGGAGAGCGTTTTGGAGTTTGTGTTCCTAAGACTCTTCACAGCTGAGCCATGCAGTTCACTATGCTCCCTTTCTTCTTTCTAGCACAATGTTCTTGTTTTCCTTGGGGCTTATCATTGCCTTGTTTCTTGATTTGCTTCATTTTCTACATATGTGTCACTAATTCAATCCAAACTCACTTTAAGTTGCATCAACCTCTCCTGGTGCTATTCTAACAGAACAGGAACCCTCCCTGCAGACCTGGCTTCCAGAGCTTTTGGACCCGCTACTCAGCGGGGGTCTCGGGGGGGTCTCCCTTCACCATCTGCTAGGCCTTCCTTTGCTTGGGTCCCTTGTCTCCTACATCTCACATCTTTCTTGGTTTATTCCCTTGTTCTGGAGGAGCTTGTCCTCCAGTAGCTCCTGTGAAAGGGCGTGTGGGAGATAAATTTTGTGACACTTTGAATGATAAATCTATCTTCTTTCTTAGCTATTTGGCTATTTTAGAATTCTAAGTCAGAAAATATTTTTGCTCAAAAGGCACCACCTTCACTGTCTTCTAGCTTCCAGTGTTGCCATTCTAATTCTTTCTTCTTTACATGAAATCTATTTTTTCCTCTCTAGAAGCTTATAGGAGCTTCTATCTTCAAGTTTTGAAACTTGTAATTTCTGTGCTTGGCTTGGATCTACTTTTAGCCACAGGTTTGGGCACTTGATGGATATTTTCAATCGTAAAAACTCATTGATTTGAGTTTTGACTTCACAATCTATTTTCTGGGAAATTTCTTCACTTGTTATTTTCAAACCCTCCTCTAGAATTTTTCGTTTCTATTATCATTTTTTATATTCATAAGCTCTATTGTTCTCTAATGTTCCCTTTATAGCATCCTATACTTGTTTTATGGACACAATATCTCTTTTTATCCCTCTGAAGACACCAGCAATAGCTCTTCCGTTTTCTTCTTGCTGTATAGTCTTGTTTCTCACAAATTGCTTTTTCTACTTGTTCTTATTTTCCATGTTATCTCCTAGCTCCTCTCCTCACTCATATTTGAAAGAAGACATGAGAAAGCTGATGGAAAGCGCTATGTGCAGACGTGGGGCTTCAAGCTCTGTCTTCACTGTAGAGTGATCTGGCTGGTTTCACTGGGCTTCCCTTGAAGTCAGGAGTTTGGGGGTATTTTCTTGGGCTGGTCAGATTCCTAGAGAAGACTCTTCTGAGTTCCTGTCAGGAGGACAAGCGTCCGGATGCCGGTGTTTTGTTCTGGGAGCCGAGCGGAGGGAAAGGCGGGGCTGCCCCAAATTCAGGACATTCACTCCCTCTGTGCTTTCCTCTGCAGGTCTGCGTCCACTCCAGCCCACCGGCCTTCTGTTTCATCCTCTCCAAACAGTAACCCACACCCTGCCCCCGTCTCGTGCAGGGGTGGGGAGCAGGTGGGGGAACTCAGGGACTCTAACTGCTTCTGCAACAGACTTTCAAGCACTTCTACTGTTTTTAGTTTCACTTCCACTTCCAGAGGTACCTGGAGCCGGCAATTATGAAGCCTACTGGGGATTCTGAGATATAAATCAGGTCCTCCTCCAGTTTTCTCAGGGTTGCTAAAATTACTAAATGTTCGTCTGAATTCTGGTCTCCAAACATTGGCAAGGGTTATCTCTTCTCCCATTTTCTTATTCCTTGCAGTTTTTGTCTTTCTAAAAAACCCTCTCTGCTGTCAATTAAGCAGCATTTCAGGGGGAAAAGAACAAAATGAGTATGTTTAACCAGGTGGGAGATTAAAATTTATATTAATTTATACTTAACCAGATTTAATTGTAATTAAACATCTATATACATGTGTTATATTGACCTATTTACCATGTACTGGAAATATATATTTCTGTTAAAACCTATTCTAGTAAATATATATAACTGTTAATTCCTGACTTAAGCTAAAAGTGGAAAAAACAAGGCTTCCTGGAATATATGTTTGTATGTTAAATGTTTTGTGAGTATGTGGGTTTTGTGTCTTGAGGTAGGAGCTCAGAGAAGGGCAGCTTCTGCAGCTTTTAAAAACATGAGCACTTCCACAGTGTTTTAAAACACTTCAGAGTTCTGAAGACCAAGGAAGGTATTTATACTATTGCACTAGAGAACCGTACAACCACTAAAATAGTATTGTATGCTATTTCTGATAAAAGTTGGTCCAAGAGACATTACAAAAATTTAGCTTTAAAAATAATAATCTTTACATATTTGTTCTTTAAATATCTTTAAAAAAAAATAAGGTAGCCAGCAAGCAAAGAGGTTTCAATTATTGTTCTGCAGGCCCCCTGGTAAAAGATGAGGTATCAAAACACAGAAAGAAAATGTTTGACAAGACATGATAAAATATGCTTTAAAATAAAATTTAGCTGAAAGGGAGAAAGACACCTAAAGACATCTATAATGTCAATTACTCTAGAAAACTTTTCCTGAAGATGGCGGTGTGGGAAGACGCAGAGTTAGCACCTCCCTACTAAGGCACCTGCAGGCCGCTGGTGGGGGGGGCTCTGACACCCAAGGAGACGGGAGGAACCCCAAAGTGAACCAGTAGGACGTAGGGGGACTGAGGCGGGAGGAGAAGTGGAGGCCAGACAGGATCGGCGCCCCCGAGGCCGGGGAGATCAGGAGAGGCAGGCGGGAGGGACTCTCCAGGAAGAGCGGGAGGGGAGAGAAGCGGAGGGCAATCGCCTGGCCCACACGGGCCGGGGAGCCTGCTGAGCTCCCAAGCCGGTACCCCCCGCTCCAAAGCCCCCTCCAGGCCGCGTGGGTGCTGGGGGTACAGGAGGGAGGCCGGGGAGATCAGGAGAGGCAGGCGGGAGGGGCCCTCCGGGAGGAGCAGGAGAGGAGCGGAGGGCGATTGCCCCGCCCACTCAGGCACGGGGAGCCTGCTGGGCTCCCAGGTGAGGTCCCCTGCCAGCTGAGACCAGGGGCGGGGGGCACGCCTGGGCCCCTTCTGTTCCTTGAGCCTAAGCCTCACCCCTCACAGCCTTTCCCAGCCCTGTGGGTCCTAAGCATTGGCCCCGCCCACTGCCCAAACCTCACCCTTGCTTAGGCCCCGCCCTCCACAGCCAAGGCCTTCCCAACCCCCTCTTTTATTGTTTTTTCTTTTCCCTTCTGGTAGTTGATTTATCTATACTTTTATTTTTATATTCCTTCTAACATATCTGTTAGTTTCCTAGACTAATTTTATTTTTTTTCTTTGTTTTTGTTTTTTTTTTTTTTTTCAAGGATTCTTCAATATATACAAATCAATCAGGGTGATACACCATACTAACAAATTAAGTAATAAAAACCATATGATCATCTCAATAGATGCAGAAAAAGCTTTTGACAAAATTCAACACCCATTTATGATAAAAACTCTCCAGAAAAAGGGCACAGAGGGAACCTACCTCAACATAATAAAGGCCATAAATGACAAACCCACAGCAAGCATCATACTCAATGGTGAAAAACTGAAAGCATTTCCACTAAGATCAGGAACAAGACAAGGATGTCCACTCTCACCACTCTTATTCAACATAGTTTTGGAAGTCCTGGACACAGTAATCAGAGAAGAAAAAGAAATAAAAGGCATAAAAATTGGAAAAGAAGAAGTAAAACTGTTACTGTTTGCTGATGACATGATACTATACATAGAAAATCCTAAAGATGCCACCAGAAAACTACTAGAACTAATCAATGAATCTGGTAAGGTTGCAGGATACAAAATTAATGCACAGAAATCTCTGGCATCCCTACACACCAACAGCGAAAAACCAGAAAGAGAAATTAAAGAAACACTCCCATTTACCACTGCAACAAAAAGAATAAAACACCTAGGAATAAACCTGCCTAAGGAGGCGAAAGACTTGTACTCAGAAAACTATAAAACACTGATGAGAGAAATCAAAGATGACAAACAGATGGAGAAATATACCATGGTCTTGGATTGGAAGAATCAATACTGTGAAAATGACTATACTACCCAAAGCAATCTACAGATTCAATGCAATCTCTATCAAACTATCAATGGCAGTCTTCACAGAATTAGCACAAAAAAGTTTACAATTCGTATGGAAACATAAAAGACCCCAAATAGACAAAGCAATCTTGAGAAAGAAAAACGGAGTTGGAGGAATCAGGCTCCCTGACTTCAAACTATACCACAAAGCTACCATAATCAAGACAGTATGGTACTGGCACAAAAACAGAAATATGGATCAATGGTACAGGACAGAATGCCCAGAGATAAACCTACGCACATATGGGCACCTAATTTACGACAAAGGAGGCAAGAACATACAGTGGAGAAAAGACAGCCTCTTCAGTAACTGGTGCTGGGAAAACTGGATAGCTACATATAAAAGAATGAAATTAGAACACTACCTAACACCATACACAAAAATAAACTCCAAATGGATTAAAGACTTACATGTAAGACCAGACACTATAAAACTCTTAGAGGAAAACATAGGAAAAATGCTCTTTGACATAAACCACAGCAGGATCTTTTTTGACCCACCTCCTAGAGTAACGGAAATAAAAACAAAAATAAACAAATGGGACTTAATTAAACTTAAAAGCTTTTACACAGAAAGGGAAACCATAAACAAGACAAAAAGACAACCCTCAGAACGGGAGAAAATATTTGCAAATGCAACAACAAAGGATTAATCTCCAAAATATATAAACTGCTCATGAAGCTCAATATCAAAAAATGAACAATCCAGTTAAAAAATGGGTGGAAGACCTAAATAGACATTTCACCAAGGAAGACATACAGATAGCCAAGAGGCACATGAAAAGATGCTCAACATCACTAATTATTAGAGAAATGCAAATCAAACCTACAATGAGGTATCACTTCACGCTGGTCAGAATGGCCATTATCAAAAAATCTAGAAACTATAAATGCTGGAAAGGGTGTGGTGAAAAGGGAACCCTCCTGCACTGTTCATGGGAATGTAAATTGATAAAACCACTATGGAAAACAGTATGGAGGTTCCTTAAACTAAAAACAGAACTACCATATGACCCAGCAATCCCACTACTGGGCATATACCCTGAGAAAACAATAATTCAAAAAGAGACATGTACCACAATGTTCACTGCAGCACTATTTACGATTGCCAAGACATGGAACCAACCTAAATGTCCACTGACAGATGAATGGATAAAGAAGATGTGGCACATATATACAATGGAATATTACTCAGCCATAAAAAGAAACAAAACTGAGTTACTTGTAGTGAGATGGATGGACCTAGAGTCTGTCATACAGAGTGAAGTAAGTCAGAAAGAGAAAATTAATACCATATGCTAACGCATATATATGGAATCTAAAGGAAAAAAAAATGGTACTGATGAACCTAGTTGCAGGGCAGGAATAAAGAGGTAGACATAGAGAATGGACTTGAGAACACGGGTGGGAGGGCGAAGCTGGGGCGAAGTGAGAGTAGCATCGACATATACACACTACTGAATGTAAAACAGTTGGCTGGTGGGAAGCAGCAGCACAGCACAGGAATATCGGCTCAGTGCTTTGTGATGATGACCTAGAGGGATGGGATAGGGAGGATGGGAGGGAGGCTACCTAGAGGGAGGGGATATGGGGACATGTGTATGCATATGGCTGATTTGCTTGGTTGTGCAACAGAAACTAACACAGTACTGTGAAGCAATTATAGTCCAATAAAGATCTATTAAAAAAAATTACTCTAGAGGACAAGAAAATTCAACATAAGAAAAGACCTCATGACAGAAACAAAGCCCAGTTAAGCAGGTAAAAAATAATAGAGCAGAAAGATTATTTATGTCCTAGAATGGTTACAAGCCAATGTGCAGAATATAGGAAATCAAGCATATTTCTTATCTTAATGAAAGGAGGTGTAAGCAACTTCTAAGGTTACTCTGAGATTAGGGGGGTTAAGATCCATGAATGTCACAATAATAAAGAATAAACATTTTACTTAAAAGAAATAGGAATGTAATGAACCTATAAACCTGAGAGCAGAAGTACAGTGGAAAGTATCTGGATGAAAAACTAGCAATTTCACTGTGGGTTTGGCCAACAAGATTACTAAGCCTTGCTAAGGCTGCAGGTGAGGTTGTTATCCACTGTCACTGGACCTCTGCCACCTGTGAGACAGAGCACTATACCCCAGAGAGACAGATAACAATGAGATACAATTAAAAGAACAGGAGAAACAGCAGATAAGAGCACTGGCTCAGGAATCAGGACAATTCCACCATTTGAGAAAAATCTTAGTATCAATAGATTAAGAAAAAGTAGTTTTATTCCCATTGAATTTCCCATTTCAGGACAGCAATTTATACTACTTTTGCAAAGAGAGAGTAAAAGAAAGTAACTGGGAAAGGAAGACTTGGTTAAATGCTAGAGGAATCTCAAGTAGTAAAAATAATGCTTATGATAGCACTGAAAATTACAAGCTTGAAATGATTGGTGGGCAACTCATTTCTTTTCTTGTTACTGTATACTGGATATACAGTAACTGGATAATTTTATTCTATGTAGAAAAAGCCTGAACCACAGTTCTAATATTAGCATATGTACTGGGTTGAACAGCATCCACCCCAAATTCCTGTCTTCCTAGAACCTGGGCCTATGACCTGATTTGGAAACGGTGTCTTTACAGATGTAGTCAAGTTAAGAGGAGGTCATACTAGATTAGGGTCGACCCTAAATACAATGACTAGAGTCCTTAGAAGGTGAGACAGACACACACAAGGGAAGGCCACTTGAGGACAGAGGGAGAGACTGGAGTGACACAGCCTCAAGCCAAAGAACACCCGGGATGCCGGCAACTCCAGGATCTAGGAAGAGTCAAGGAAAGGTTCTTCCCTAAAGCCTTGGGATGGAGCATGGCCCTGCTGACACCCTGATCTCAGACTTCTATCCTCCGGAACTGCAGGAGAATAAATGTCTGTTGTTTTCAGCCACTCCGTTTGTGGGACTTTGTCATGGCAGCCCCAGGAAACCAAAACAGCATGCTAAGTAAAATTTTCTTCTTTATTAATTAAATAAATTATTTACTGAGCACCCACCCTATGAGAGGCACACTATACTAGGGGCTGGGGTTAGATTTTAAATATTTCTCTCAGATATCATTTTTCAATACTGGTTCTAAAACTATGACATTAAAGGCAAATATCTAATCAACCATCTAAAATAATTTGAAACTCTAAAATACTGAGACAAAACTTATATTCTGTGCAGCGTCCAAACAACTAATTTAAAAACTCTTTACATCATAAAAAACAAGTAACTGTTTAAATTAACCAATATTTATTACATCTTTTTAAAAATTTATTTATTTATTTATTTTTGGCTGCATTGGGTCTTTGTTGCTGCGCGCGGGCTTTCTCCAGTTGCGGTGAGCAGGGGCTACTCTTTGTTGCGGTGCGTGGGCTTCTCACTGCAGTGGCTTCTCTTGTTGCAGAGCACGGGCTCTAGGTGCACGGGCTTCAGTAGTTGCAGCATGCGGGCTCAGTAGTTGTGGCTCATGGGCTCTAGAGCACAGGCTCAGTAGTTGTGGTGCACGGGCTTAGTTGCTCTGTGGCACGTGGGATCTTCCCAGACCAGGGCTCGAACCTGTGTCCGCTGTATGGGCAGGCGGATTCTTAACCACTGTGCCACCAGGGAAGCCCTATTACCTTACATCTTGATGAAATTTTGCTTATTTATACATAAATATGAAAATATCAAAAGAGCATTCCAAAGCCCCTTTTATAATTGGTGTTGGGTTTAAATGACAAATAATTTGTCTTTATTTCAGTTATTCGGTCTTATTCTATTTATATACATTTTCTGAGGAACAGATTTCAAAGTTATTTTTATTATAATTTGTCTTTATTTCAGCTATTCTATCTTAATTTATTCTATTTATATACATTTTCTGAGATTTCAAAGTTATTTTTATTTTTTTTAAATTTACATTTCCGTTTTTATTAGTGACATTGAACACTTTTTCTAAGGCACAAAGTTATTTTTAGATGTATGTTTCTTATTCCTTTCAAAGGTTAATATAAAATTTAGGTTTAGAAAGGGTATAGCTGAGATGACAAGGAGGTAAATTTAATGCCCTGACTAATATACAGAAAGCATTACTGATCACTGAGTGAAACGTTTAACTTTTTATAAATAAAAAATAAAACCTAGAAATACTGTAACAATCTTAGGGGAAAGAAGAAGAAAACAGTCAATCATACACAGGCAGCCGTTGGATAAACTGAATTCTGCTGTTATTTTCCCAAAAACTCTAAAAGTGCCATTGTAAATCTCTTTATTATTAATACTACATTGCAAATGAGTAGCTACAACCAGGTGTTAGTCAATTTTCCTTACAAATATGCCCCAACATTGAATGATCGTTTCAAAATAACAGGCTGGCTCTCGGTACTCACACTATATAGGTCTCTGGTTTCTTCCTTCATTTTCGGGATCTCCAGGAGGAGGGCCCAGACTTCCCCTCTGAGCTGGAGTGGGATTCCTTTGTAAATTCTCCTATGAAACTTATTAAAAGAAACATAAATTGAAAGTTACAAACTGACAAAGCTTAGACTAGTCCCTTAAATCAAACTAATGAATATTTGTTAGTCTTTTCTTTCCAAAGGATTCCTCATAATTGATACAATTTAACATGGCACATTTGGATCCTCTCATCTCTACTTTTCAGATCCAAACAGGGAGGCATATACACAGAAAGCATAGAATAAACAAGAAAATGTTAAGTATGCCCAGTACATTAGTTATTTTCATACACTGCAAAGGTGTTCCTTCAGTGGCACGAGAGCACAATCAGTGCTGTTCTTTAAGTTGTGAACATCTGACTTACACACTCCCCATTGATATAGCTAACTAGGTACACATTTTCTTCTTTTTCCCTCCTACATCTAAAAGGTTCCAAATAGCAAAAGGGTTCTCTTGTGTCAAAGTGCCTTCAAGGAGGGTAGAGTCTCTCTAGAACCTTCTATCTCATAACTCAATGTGACCTACAGTCTTCATTCAAGTCCACCTCCACCCCCCAAACACACACCCTCTCCCTCTTCCCTCTCCTCTTCCCAATTCTGGAGCGTTTCTTCAGGAAAACCTCTGTCCTCTTCTTAATGACATTGATCCTATCTGACCAGACAAAAATAGTGATAAATTTCCATCAAGAAGGAGCATCATCACCTTTGAGTGAAATTAGGTATAAATCATCAGCATCATTAACACTCTGGGCCCTTGAAAGTACACTGCCATCACTCTAAGAATCTTAAGACTCGCCACACCTCTCCATCTTCTTGTAATTATATCTTTTTTCTCAAGGCTAATTACGTATTCAAAATAACATATAAACCTATTATGCTCATTACAAAGTTGTGCATAAGGAAACTCTGAAACTTAAAAGTAGATGAAACTTAAAAGGAAATGATTAAACAAATTACGGCAGAAACTTCAGGAGCGAGGTAAGAATAAGTACATAGTTACCTTTATGATCAAAATAATGTACTGAAGTAGTACGGCCAAGAAAATAAGATGCAAGTTCTAATAACTGAGATGTTGACGAGCTATGAACTAATAAGCAGAGCTTCAACTTCTACAATTATACTAGATTTTTTAAAATGAAACCTTTAGTAACTAAATTATGATGTAGCTTTAAGAAACTGTGATTTTAAATCAGTGACACTATAGAATAACGTTTCCTGTGAAACACTGAATACTGTGAAGTTGATTCAATTAGATAATTACATACATAATCTCAGTTTTGTTCTCTTGGTATAAACATAGTAAGTCTCAAATTTGAAATTCCAGCAGACAGTGACTAGAAACACTGAGGTTTTAACTTACGCGGTAGATGTAACTGGAAGAATATGTACAGAAAGGCTTTGTATAAACTAGACTCTGCTTCTTCAACATTTCCCATGTACTAAACATTTACCACCATTAATTGCAAACAGTGTGGTTTAAAAAAAAGTGAATTTAAGATTTACTTTCCAAAGAAAGTTTATCATCTATATTCATTTCAAAATTATGATAAACTTTTTTTTTTTTTGCGGTATGCGGGCCTCTCACTGTTGTGGCCTCTCCCATTGTGGAGCACAGGCTCCGGACGCCCAGGCTCAGCGGCCATGGCTCACGGGCCCAGCCGCTCCGCGGCATGTGGGATCCTCCCGGACCGGGGCACGAACCTGTGTCCCCTGCATCGGCAGGCGGACTCTCAACCACTGCGCCACCAGGGAAGCCCCTAAACTTAACTTTTTAAAGGAATATCATCCACTAAAAGTAACTTCAAATTATGTCCTGAATTTCTAGAGTAAGGATGTTAAACTGAATGCAATTAATATGAATACCAGAATGTGGGAATTATTGCAAATGTGAAAAGTGAAATTTTGATAGTCAAGTAAAACATGACGGCAGGTAAACAGATAAACTTTGATGGACCTGAATGTCCATTAGATGGATGTTTTTCAATGAGTAAGATAGGAACCACATGCATTTCTTATACTGTATCACTTACAAAGGTTTTGGACATTATATACTGCTTTCACTCAATTCTGTATTCACCAACTGTACATAAATTACCGTTCATTGTTTATCCTAAAGTTAAATCTAGATTTAGAAAAACAAAACATTAAATTGCCATGATTCAATGAAGAAGAAATAATAGAAAGATTTCAGGTAGAAATAAAAAATTAATGGTCCTAGTGTTATTCCAGGGATAAAACAAAAAATGAGGCATGTCTAGAAAAGGCTCAAAAAGAAACTCTGATGCACTGTCATTATCATCATCAACAGTAACAGTTAAAACCAACTTTTACTGAGCATTTACTATGTACAGGAAACTGTTTAAAACTATTTACATATGTTGTCTCATTCAATGATATTAATAATTCTATGAGATATTATTACCCCAATTTTACAAATGCTGACAGTGAATCACAAAAAGATTCAGTAACTTGCCCAAAGACACACAGAAGATGTTACCAGTTAGTAAAAGATACTGATTTTATATTTTATAAAAAGCAAAGACCATCTTTCTAAAACCATGTGTTATGTAGTATATCTACTGTCCTGCTTAACCGGACTTACTAAAATATACATGGAATGGAAAATATTAATGAAATTGAAGAGCAGAAAGCATTAAAAATAAAATTATAAAATTGTAAAATAAAATAAAATTATAATCAAAACCCAAAAGGAATATAAAAAGGGATGTATCTGGATTCAAGCTGTGCAAGGTAATGAGATGAAACATGTATACAAAGTAAGATACAGTAGAAAAAGAATCAAATTATGAGATCTTAAAATAAGCATTTTAAATTATAGTTACTATTTTTCAAATACTTCTACTGTTACATGATAGACTGACACTGTGGTTACAGATCTTTCCTCACAAATTTTCAACTATTGTAGAAATTCTGGAAATTTTGTAAAACAAAGTAGGAATCGTATCAAAGCACAACAATTATAATAAAATCTGCTTATTCTCCAGAACAGTAGCACAGTTTTCACTTGTTGAGAATCTTTCAATTGACAAAGCAGTATCTCACACCTTCTAGGACAGCTCTGTAATGTCAGCAGGGCAGGTGCTACTCCAGTTTAAAAGGAAGGGAATCAAGGGACAAAGAAGTGGCCTGCCTAGGCCAAGAATTCCATCTTCCTGCTCCTGCTTCAGGATATTTCTGCCAAATCACACTGCCCCTTAGAGATCACAGCTTTATTAAAGTAGTAGAATTTATCAGTAGAGGGGGACAGCTGGTCATCCCAACTCGAAAGTGAACAACATTCGTTCATTCATTGTAAACAGAAACTGTAATGACTTTCTGCTTTGTGGCCAATGCTTACTAGGTACTATGGATACAAACTTGAAAAAGTTCTGTGGAGTTCACAGTGTAGTGGGGAAGATAATCATAGAATCATATAATTATAAACATAATCCTTTGTAATAAGGTCACATATGTTAATTCCTATCAGAGCTGAGTATCACACCCTGAGGGGCAAGTCGTGATAGAGACATCACCCCCACCAGAGGTGGGCCCGGGTGGTAATGGGAGAATGGCAGGCGCCACGCTGTCTAATCTGGGGGAGTGATTTCAGGGGGCAGCTGGCCCTTACGGAACAGACACGAGATTCTAAGGGGAACCAGAAACAGTTTAGGGATAAAGGTGTTGGGGGCAGGGGCAGTGAATCTGCTGTGGTGGTCACTTCTTTATTGGTCCAACACTGGGGCTCTCATCCCGAGACTATACCAGAGATACTATAATGGAGGAAGGGGGGTGAGCTCTGTGGGAGAGAGTAAGGAAAGATTTCCTTTAGAGAGGATGACAACAAACTCAACATAAAGGATATGCAGGAATTTTCCAGGAAGGAGAAATGAGGGTGGGGACGAGGGTAAAGATAGTGATAAATCAAACAGTAACAGCAATGTTAGTAACACCAGTTACACTAACATTTTATGATTATTTATTAGGAGCCGAGATACGTTTGTAGATCAAAGTATTCCTCGTAGTATTTTTACATTCCTAAAGAGGTAGGTACAGTGCTTATCATGTCCATTTTACAGATGAGAAAATCAGGTGTAGAAAGGTTTAGTAATAAGCTCAAAGTCACACAACTAATACACTGTGGAAGAAGAACTGAAATTCAAGTAGTCAGATTTCATAGATCATAGTCTGAATAATCATGATATATATAGAACTTTTATATGTTGGATTTTAATATTTTAATATTCCAATTTGAAAAGTACTACCTTTAAAATTCTGTTACAATTTTATTTTATGGGTATGATCTCTGTTCACTTGCCAATAAAATCAAGCGGTCTATTTCAGTCACACAGATACATTTAAAAATCCATCAACTAAAAAAAAGAAAATTTTTTTTCCATCAACTGACCTAATGTTTTCACCACGTCTTTCTAACCTTACTGGTTTCAAAAGAGGGATAAATGTTTAGTGTGCGTCAGCATGGCTGCGAGTGCGTAAACTTTTCAGCCCAGCAAGTTTGGCTCAGTTTGGCGGGACTATCAAAACTGCAAGTGAACTCCAGGAGACAAAAGTTTACTCTCTGAGCTGCCTGTGCTCTTCATTGCCTTCATTTCCTTCAGTCGTCCCCGCTCCGTTGGTCCCTTTGTCTCCGTCTCCAAATAGGCCCACGTCTCCTGAGCCTGGATCTGAAAGCTTTAGAATCCACAAGGCCCTAATGCCTCTTACAACCACTTTCTATTTCCTTCCGGCCTTTTACTGACAAACACCGAAAGGGAGAGCTAGCAAACAGATGGTATCTGGACGTAGCATCTCTTGCTTGTCACTAATAATGGCCTTGAGAAATTTATTTCTAAACATCGTGCCTCCATTTTCACATCAGTACAATCAAATGTTGGCTAATATGAGTCTGTTAGTTACCTGACGAACAAAGGTCCATTCAGTTATTTAACCAGAAAAAAAAATGTGTATCTGTAGTAGGAACTCTGCTGTGACAGAGCTTAGACACAATTATATAATGGCTCGTTAAATCAGAATGGCCTCTACTTAGCAGAGATAACTTCATCTCTTCACTTAATAGACTGTATTTTAAAAATACACTATGACTGTACACGGGGGGCAGTCACTGTGAAAACACAGGCAACCGTAATGGCAACTATTTTTCATTAAATCTTATATTCTAAAAATCCAAATATTCTTATCAGAGCTATATATTTTTATTTCAAGATATTTTTAGATACTTCTTTGTACCACTACTGCATAAGTAAGGAGTCTGTTGAGAGAAAACTTATACCTTCCTTTGGAAGAGAAGAAAAATATATACTACTTTTTAACTTCAATGCAACTTAAAACTGGGTATGAACTGAGAGCAGCATTCTTTTGGAAGGTACATTCTACCTCATACCAGACTGGACCATATATATCATCAAATAATTCTAGCATTATAGCTGTGGGAAAATACTTTAAAATTATTCATGAAAGGAAGAGCTCTACTAAAATCCCTCTTGCTGGGAAGTACGTTAGCCAGAGTTGCTGTGACCGTAACAGCCTAGTAGAATGCTCATTTTTACAGAGGCTTATATACTTTCAGACATATGTATAAAGCCACACAATTCTACAAATATTTTATTGAACTGAAGCTGAGACGAAAGTGTAGGTGCAGCACATCAAAACTGATCCTGTAATTAGCGCTTGAGAGACCTTTCCACAAAGATGTCAGGTGAAGTAGTTGTCAGTTTTAGGCCAGTCTGAGAAGCAGAATGTTAAACAAGAGCACAGGGGTCATGACCAACATCCTACTCTGAACGGATTCTTCTTGAAGCACCTTAATGAAATCAGCAACCCAGAAATGAACTTACTCCTGATGAAATAAAATAGTAAGAGTCTAATGGAATTTAAATAGGGATATTTAGGATGCTCAAAAAGAAGAGTGACGTTATTCCTGTGAGATACCCATGACAAAAAGATTTTCATGGCTGAATAAGTGTCATGCAATTTAAGGTCCCTCTTGAAAATTTCAACCACGTTATAATATTAAAGATGATGAGGCACCCTGTAGTAAAGAAACCTGCCTACCTCGGTTCAGCTTTATCCCAACTTTATTTAACCAGAAAGCCCCTTTCTCATGTAATAATAAACAACACTTACTGACTGCATATTAAGTATCAGACACTATTCTTTGTGTTTCACATGAATTAACTTATTTAGTCCTCAAAACGACTCTGTGAAGGAGGTATTGTGATTACCCCCATTTTACAGACAAGTAAACTAAGGCAGAAAAAGGTTAAATACCTTCCTCCAGGTCATACTACTAGTAATGTGGCAGAGCTAGGGATTGAACCTAGGATAGTCTACTGCTTAACCATTAGGCAACAATGCTTTTGTGTAATATCCGTTAGACCCCAAGGAACTGCTGCTCCCTGGAATTCTTGTTGGTAAAGGCTGACACACAACAATTTATATCTATGTAAAAAGGAAAAAATATACAATGCATGGAAAAGAAGTGTGAGGAAACAGACAAAAATCCTAACAGCTCAGTGTTTTGCTGTAGGATTATGGAAGGTTTCTTTTTTCCCTTTAAATATTTTTTACTGCCCAACCTTCTTTCAAAAAACGGATAGCAGTAGTCAACCCTATTGAATGCTTACTATATGCAAGGTGCAATGCCAAGTACTTTATATGCATGAAATCATTAAATCTTCATCTCTTTGAAATGGGTATTGTTATCTCCACTTTATAGATGAGGAAACCGAGGCTTAGATGTCAGCAGTTCCCAAGGCATGGGCCATGAGGTCAAGACTATTTTTGTAATGATACTAAACCATTATTTGCCTCTTTCCCTATGTTGACTTTGGCACTGGGAGCACAAAAGCCATGGTGGTGAAGCCCCTGGTACCTCAGCACAAACTGAGGCAGAGGAAGCACTGTGCTGGCAGTCACTGCATTCTTTCCTCACAGTTTAAAAAAGAGGTCAGTTCGCTTAGGAATGCCCTTGACGAAGCAGTAGAAACTATTAATTTCATTCAATCTCAATCCTGAATACACACATCTTATTAAAATTCTTAGCGATGAGGTGGAACGCACACAGAGCAGAGTGTCGGCCTCAAGAAAGAGCATTTATGAATTGTATGAATCGCGATCTGAACCAACTGCTTTGGTCACGGACACCATCATTACTTGAAAGAACGACTGACCAGCCAATCGTGGTTGTTGACACTGGGTACTTAGCAGACATTTTTCTCAAAAATAAATGAAGTAAGCCACTTTAAGGAAAATACCTGACAGTATTTTTGCCCCTGATAACATCTGCCCTTTCAAGCAAAAGTTAGAATTTTGGAAAACTTACACCACTAGGAACTTCACAGCTTCCCAATATTTAAGGAAGAATAGTAGGAATTAGTAGGAATTCCTACTGATTAGATTAGTAGGAATATTAATAGATGTATGCATTTTTACAAATTGATTCAAAACAGCACAGAGTCAATGCGGGGTAAAAAGATCTGGGGCGGGGTGCGAGGGTGGTCTGCTAGAAGCTTTAGGACAAGGAGACGCTCCTGCCTCATGGAAAGCTTTCAGAGGCCAGGCCTCTCTCCTTCTGAGCAGGGAGACAGGGGGATACGAACGACGGCAATAATCCTGATCCCAAAGGGAAGCCAAGCTCAGCAGGAAGCCGACACTGAAGTAGGCAGAGAAGCAAGACGGAAAGAAACGAAATCACAGGCAACGTAACCAAGCGGCGGAATTCAATCATCCCCAAAAGCCAGCTGACCTCTGGACTGTCCGCCACATCCTCTCAATTCCTGCAACCCATCTGAACTGGCTATTCTGTGACAGCACAGAGACTCCTAATTTGAGGCATTCCACTCAATTAAATTACACTTAAAAATTTTTTAAGAATATGAATGTAATACTCTTATAATTAAAGAGGAACTTTTACTGGGAAAATCCACATTGAATTTGTATAGTTTCATAAGGAAGTAACATTTTTAATTACCTTTTCAGTGTTCTTGTATTTTTCCCATCCTTTTAACATTTTCAACCATTTAGTAGTTCTTTCAATTTCCAGGTGCTTTTGCTAAAAATAAAATTGAAATTCATTGTTACTGTTTGTTTCAGGCTTCTTTTACTTACAAATTACAAAAAAATGTCAAGGAAAATGCTGCTGAAAAAGGACTACTAAAAAAGTCATGCTATATTGGACAGCAAATATCCTAACTTTTTTTTAAAGTTGTATAATTGATGACATTTGTGTCAACAGTGTCCCCTCGCCGACGTTAAGACACGAAGGAGATGCTCCATTGGGACAGGTAAAGAGAAAGGGATCACTTAAATTTTCTAACATTTTAATCACTGAAAACGCTGGCTACTGTACAAATTTAAGCCAAAAGGAAATTTTAAAACAGTCTGAAATATTTTTATGAAGCATCAAAAACACAACTTCAAAATTCCATTCTCTTCTTTCACATTTTACCGATTTCTGGCATCTTAATGTTTTCGGTGACAAAGGTGGTTTTGTAAAGGAGAATTGGGTATTACTGGGGGGAGATCATCATATAACTAGCACTATGTTAGTGAAAAACTGTACAAAAATAAGTAATAGTTGCTGCCCCAAGGCAAGTTCACGGTCTGCTAAGGGCACTCAACATGGAATACGCAGTGTTGTGACCTAGAGGCAGAGACGGTGACTCAAGTGCTGTGGAGGGAGCAGTAGAACCCACCCAGGGGCGTCAGAGGAGGCGAGTATAAATGAAGGACTGGAAGAGGGTTAGGGTTTTTATCAAGTGCAACATGGGAAAGAACATTCCGAGAAGCATGGACAGATGTATTTCTTCGACAATGCGGCAGTGTAGGGGGTAAAAAAGGAACCATCCGGAGCTGAGGCTGAACACACAGGCGGGGGTCTTGGCTGTCACACTAAATTAAGATTTGGGGCAAAGCTGGGAACGGGGAAGATGGTAGAGAAAAGGCTTCTTCCACACTTCTTTGGTTTCAAGGAGAAGGGGTATTTTTCCTAAGTACTCGGGTGGGCTCTCCAATCTCTTATTCATTCCTATGGTGGTAGAGTGACTTACTTGATTCGTACATTTAGAAAAAGAACTGGGTGTGCACAGCCCTCTGTCCCTTTACCTTGGGAGCCCAACTACCCTCAGAAAATCCATTTGTACTCTGTCCTTTCAGGCAGGAAAAAACACCCTCTTCAGCCAAGAAGTCTGGGTGACCCCTGTGCCCATGACCAGGTGAGCAAGTCTCTCCTCCGGGGGCTCAGCCTAGGAGGCCGCTCAGCCTAGGAGGCCCCTCGCTGCCGCACACCTAACCTCCTCCCCGCTGACTACTCCATCTACGAAGGCCGAGATGTTTGCTGCTCCCCCACTGCCTGGCACAGAGCCCAGCAGGGTCCACTCCTAATGATGACCTTTTCATGAGAACAAAACTCAACAGAATTCTTTCTTATGAGTGAGCTGAGATTCTGCTATTTTGTTAATTCTCCTCGATCCCAGCGTTGTCTTTTCAGAAGGCCTAAGTGTATTAAGTGCATCTAAAAAGTAAATGAAATGGAAGACTACCCAGGAAAGAAAATGGTTCTGAGGATACATTTTATGCTCAAAAAAGTACGCTCATGGGCTTCCCTGGTGGCGCAGTGGTTAAGAGTCCGCCTGCCGATGCAGGGGACACGGGTTCGTGCCCCAGTCCGGGAAGATCCCACATGCCGCGGAGCAGCTGGGCCCGTGAGCCATGGCCGCTGAGCCTGCACG